ACATCCCTACGTCAATCTCAAAATTAATGCTTTGCAGATTGTCCCTAGGCGACCTGCTGACGCTCAAAATCCCTCCGAAGTTTGTGTTAACAAGAAACCTCGTTTGTCGAAGTTGTCGCTGACGTCAAAGTGACGTTTCCGAACTTTGCGAGAGCCGCGGTTTGAGCTCGAGATCTTCGCTTCGGATCGAGGCGAAGTTAAACTTTGTCAACATGGCGGTGCCGTACGCTGCGGCCGAGCTTATCTTCCGCCACCGTCGGCGTCGCTACTGAGACCACTGGGGACGCCTTTCAACTCCCCGACGACGACTTTCGGCGACAGTACCAGCTATCCAAAGCCGTTGTGCGTTTACTCTGCGACGAGCTTCGTTCGCCGCCTCGGACCGTGGAACAACAAGTTCTCTGCGCGCTCCGGTTCTTCGGAACCGGTAGCTTTCAAGGCATGGTGGCGACTGACGAGCACCTGTCAGTCTACCACATGACTGTGAACCGGGCTGTCAGAGTTTTTGCGGCTGCCATCGCTTTTTTTTTATTTTATTTTTTTCTGTAATATCCGAAGAGGTACTAATAAGCTGGTATACAATTCAGAATGTTGGAAAACAAACAAGAACCGGGGTAATTCTTGGGTAGGGTCGAGTCTCCCGGCAGCCGGCAGAATTATTTCCCCGAAATTCTACTGGCAGTCGTCACTCACTGGCGGTCAAATCAGTTCATCGAACGACGTGTCATCGACAGATCGTTTCATCGGCACGCGATGTAATCACATGAAAGAGATTGTCTTCCGTTAGAGGTATATACGCATTAAGCATTTTCCCACCTTTAAACACGTAAGTGGGGTGTCCCATAACTAACACCCTAATAAGTGTAGCGATGGACCTTATAAAAAAAATGTAAACTTCACACCTTTAAAAATGTGTGATTTTTTAAACACGTTTCTTAAAACGTATGATAATGCCTACACCTTTTTATAAAGATGTAAAACTACAATACCCCTTCTCGTCAGGCACGCAGCCAAGGGGAGGGGCATAAGGCCTGGCCTTCCCGCCCCCCCCCCCCCCCCCCCCCGAAATTTTCCATTTTGCTGGGGCCTCCTCTCCTCCCTCCCCCTCGTAGAGCACTTTGTCATCGGCGCCCCCCCCCCCCCCCCCCCCCTCCCCTTTTAACCGAAAATCTGGCTACGTGCCTGCTTCTCCTCAAGGTGTAATTACCACAGTACATTTCTTTTTTGGGGTGTACACAGTGGCCCGGGACTAATTAATATGACTGAACAAATAAATTACACAAACGAGTCGCCGAAACAGCACGTTGCTTCTTGGCGAGTGTCGAGGCAATATCGTCCGAAAACCGGCTTCAATATTGGCTGTATGTACGGTTTAGCGCCTTGTCCCTACATCCGGCAGGTATGGGAGTACCGATGCAAATAAACGATTTATGTCTAATAGCACTGGCACCACTGATTTCTTAGGAGGCTAGATCGTGAATAGAGGCCGTATTGCTGGGGTCGAGCGGCACCACCGGCAGTCATCGCTTGACACAACTCAATTTTATTACGTTAGTAAATTGTTCTCTACCATGAAACTTCTATCATGTTTCCGCAAATACCAGTTAATATTGTGGGCAAGAATATTAAACGCGTTAGAATACCAATCTTGTTTAACTAAATGTTGTGTGGTTGAGGGTCCAGGGCTACTTTGTTGGGCGTTAACTGTTATGCGTTTAATGAGACAAGGGCTACCGAGAGTTATTGTGGAGTCATCCGTGATTTCGGAGTCATCAAAGCTCAGCAAACGATAAGTTAGAATGCCTTTACTGAAGATTTTCGCATCGTTTTGACCGCTTGTACATAGTGCTTCATGGTGAAAGCTTTTTCTTTGAACTCCTGTGAGGACTTCCGTGACAAACTGAAACTCGGAGCGAGCGTGGAGCGGATTTTCTCAAAACAAAATATGACGGGGCGAGATAGCTGCCGTTCAAATATGACTTTGCTTGAGTCTCGGGCAACGTCTCCATGTTTAGCCTTCCCGGACGCTGAGTGAATCCGTCGCAGGTTTTTGCTGTGGGAGCTTTGTCGAAAAATGTTGCACTTTTCACCCATACACAAATGATGCTAGATCTCGCGGCCCCTGTGGTTGTCCTGGGCCTTTCATTACACACTGGTAGGTTTCAGCGTCTGTACGGCTACAAAACGACTCAAATTTCGCAAATAAAACACGGGCCGTCGATTCCTTTCTTCGTGAAATATCAGAGGCTTACAATTCAAGCTCGCGTTTGAGTTTCTGGCCCGCGGGACGCGATTTCGAGCAGAAAACCAACTTTTTCTTTCAGTTCCGCTGTGCGAATGCCTCATCGTAGCAGACGAACTCTCGTCGTCTGCTCTCGCTCCTCGCCTGGGCGAGGCATGACGGGATTGTCGGCGCTAGAGAGCCCAAAGACGACGTACAGCGTGCGGCGTGAACGCTCGCCTCCCCGCGCTGTCTCGTGCTCTCGTGCACCGCCTAGGGATCGCGGGGGATTTTTCGTCAAAAGTTGCGAAGTTGAGCGCGCGCAGGAAGGAGGAAACTTTGCGGCGTTCTTTTGGTCACTCCCCCCGCTACGTCAAAAAGCGAAGAATGTTTTGCTCCACGAGTTTAGCTACCCCGAAGATATTTAGACTTGCCTAGATCCTTTGAATGCACACGGAAATCTTGGGAGCGTGTCGTGTGTGCGGCACATTCGAAGCCACCCAAAGCTCTTCGCAACCGTGGCTAATCATAGCGCACGCATAATACACGCCCGACATATTCTGTGTGTTCCCGGGTTTATAAAAATATTCAAGGTGAGCTTTTTTTTGGGTGCATTTGGTTATTGGTATTTCAATCGAAATACCGGCCGTCCGCGAGAAAACCTGAACCCTGTTTTCTCGCACCTCAAAAATAAGCTAAACATCGCGGAGAGCTCAAACTCCGCCAGAACGTACCCCCGGCCATTCGAGCAAGATACTGAAGCTTCAGCACCAATTGTCAACTTGCTCAAAAGTTGCAAGCGATTTTATGAAATATTTCGATGGGAAAATGGGGCCCATTTTCGGCCCGTTTTCGCTTTCTGGCGCCATAGAGCTCCATGTATTTGAGAACTCCGTCGGCCGCCATTTTTCCATTGAAATTTTTAGAAAATCGCTTATAACTTTTAGTAAAGCTAAAACTACGGCAATGCATTCGCGTCTTCGACAAGTGTGAATGAATCATTATAATGCGCGTTTAGTGGTAACGTCTAAGAACACGAGCCACAACAATCCACTTATTCAATGTTTGTAATAAAACATTACAACTATACCGTTTCCACTGAACTAGATACAAGCTCCTAAAAAATTTTTAACGAAAGTATACGAAAGAGAAAGGTTACGTTCTAAAATGGTAACTAACAAACAGTGAGGCAATGTTTCCCCCAGTATCTTACGTATGGAAAGGCGACTCGAAGAGTGTAGTTCATGGCGAAAGCAAAGGTCCTCGCTTGCTTCTGTCTTCCGCACGTGAAACTGTTCGCCTATAGCTTCGAGAACGAACTGTATTCCTGTGTGATTTCAAACAAATTAACAAAAAGGAAACAATCTTGGATTTTTGTTTTGTATTTGGTTACAGAATAGCATCACGGGTCTTCAGTGAAGAACGCCATGCCTAGATTTTACACGCACGAAGGCATTCAATTGTTGAAAAGGAGACGTCTAAAGCGTGCATTAAGCATTCAGCACCATTTGGTTTCTTACAAAATACCTATTCTTCGACACAACAAAACTGTCCAGGAATTTTAGGGGAAACAAAATAACAGTGACTTTCGAACAGAGTCTTCGATTTACCCGAACGTGCGCCCGACATCTTGGAAGCGCACTTCTCCGCTTACATAATTGAAATAAAGTATAGACGTAAAAGCGATCTCAAGGTGTCCAGATGATACGGACGAGCGCGCAAAATAAACGGTCCCAACCGTGTCATTGGTAAAAGAAGACTTGGCACATTTCAGCATGTACGAGACAAGAACGACTCGTCAATATTTTGCTTTTTCTTGCACGTTTCGTGTCTGCTGTTTCCAGTGATAATCAATTGCGTTTATATTAAACTGTTTCTAAAGAGTAGGTGAGAACACACCTGCGTACAAGACTTGCGAGTAACCTACTAGAAAATTCAACGTCTTACCCCGGACAATGATTTCAAGTCGTGACTTCTGTGAAGTGTACGCCCCATACATAGTGAGATTTTCTGCTACGATCATCTACGAATTGCAGTGTGCAAACATCAATAATAAATTTTAAAAAAAACGTGCCAGATAAAAATGTAAATTCAAATAAAAAATAACGTATGAACTTTATGTTCTTGACGATGTCAGGGACTTCGCTCTGTTTACGTTCGTATATTCAACAATTCCTGTACCTTGTGTATTTGCTTTTTAATTTTTTTTTGTTTTCTTATTTTTAATATAATTTTATGCTATCACGAAGATGTCGATCGGGAAGATGTTTAAGTTTTTAATTTATGCTGAATGCACCTTTTCACTCCATTTATGTAGGCACATATTTGAACTATAAGGTGCCAGTGCCTCGTGAGGCTTCTTAGCTTTTTGTAGTGGCCCCTCTTTCAATCCCCCCCCCCCCCAAGATAAAACGTTTTTTCTTTTATTATCATCATTAACAATCGCAACATCACAACCACCGCCACCATACTCATTTTAAAGGCCTGTTCACACATGCAGCGGAGCGCTCCAAGCATAGCGCTGACCTCGCGCTAAGCGCGTGCTGACGGGAGCTTTCACCAGCTTTGTAATTTTGTATCGCACCGTCAAAGCTGTTGCTCATTGCAGATGATAAGTAGCTGACGACACGTGAGCAGCGCTACCTCAGCGCTTCGCTGCACGTGAGAACCGGCCTTTAATGACATCAATGTCGTCGTCATCACTTTTTTTTTTTAATTAACGACGATAGTGACTCTGCGGTGTTGCACACGCCTGTTGGGTTTTTCACTCTGCATCAAGTTAATGGGCGTCCTTCAGCCGGCTTCGACTCTTGGCGACGAGGATTTCCAGTGCCAGGGTCAGGAGAGCGCAGCTGAGCCCCAGTCCCAGAATGAGGAAAGTGGCCAGGAAATGGGTGACGCCAGAAACTTCCTCTTCTCCAGAGGAAGAGGCTGGAGGGTCGAAGGCCTCGCAGCCCGGAGCCGAGATCTCGTCCAGCCACTTGTCCAGGAGGCCTCCTTGCCGCATCTCCCTCAATCTGCGCCGACAAAAAGTTTTTGGAAATGCGAGCTCGGTCCTTACATTTCCACGTCTTTTATGTCGTAGCAAGGTGTGTAGTTGGGCGAACTGGTGCGTGCTCAGAACAAATAAAACAGCACAAAGGACACAAGGACTGGTAGAAGACGCCCTGGTTTTCACATCTGTTGTCGTTGTTTTGCGCCCTTTTATTTATTTTGTAGTTTATGTCCTTTTTTACTAAGCGCAGTCCACGGTGTCTTGTACTATTGCTCTGAATTGATGCTGGATTTAGGTGGCGGATAGTATCGTTTGGCTGCCTGATGCACAGCTATAGCCACAAACTCAAACGCATGTCACAGAACAGATTATAGTCAAGGATCGGGTACATGGGTCATATATACTCCGGAGGCACACACGAAGAAATGAGCAAATAATCTATATAATTTATGAGCTCCAACGTTTCTTTTCCACAGGGCACCCGACGTTGAAGGAGCGACGGAATATTCGTAACTAACGTCCGAAATTGCTTGTAATGGCTGGATTCGGACCCTAATTCACGGTGAATTAGTTCTATGAAGAAACAGCGTGAAGGATTTAAAAACTAATAATGGAATGTTCTGTATATAAAAATAGTAAGAACAAATAAGACCCGCAGTTGTTTAGGACACTGCAGGTTCACGCCGATGATGAAATTTTTCATCTTTATTGAAGAGCCCAGGGCTCTTCAATAAAGGTATACAATCGCGTCAGTGTTCGACAGCTAAACACGGCTTGCGCGTAATCACCATTAAGAAAGCGAATGAGACGAAAAATAAAAAAAGTGGTCCCACTGTCCTATGCCTCGAACTATACCCAAACCGGTCAGTATGTGAAAGAGTGGAAAAAAACAAAACAGTGAAGTCTGCAGACTAAAGATGCAATCACTCTACTCAGACGTCATACAAAAGACACGGTCTTCTCTAGAAACTTGATGACCGAAGTATCTCCGGACGCTTGGAGCATGTCCAAAGCGCGTTTTTTTTTTTTTAATTACTGTGTAGGCAACATGTCTACAGAGAGTTTTTGTAGTGTCTTTCTAAACTTGGGCTAGGTGGCGCAAGCTATCGCCCGTTACAAAGAGTATAGCCATTAACATCCAGCCATCCATCCGTATGGCCTATGTGACAGGACTTCTACACAAGGTATGCAGGCTGTCTTTTGTATGATATATTAGCAGTATGGCCGCGGCTTTAATGAGAGATTTTGGGAACACACTTTCGATCCAGCAGGTTGTGGAGGAGGCGAGGCACCCCCTTCCTGGTGAACATGGCCATGGGAACCTGGGTGACGGGCTGCCGCGCGTAGTAGAACTCGCCGGTTAGGTACGGGCAGTGCCTGTGCAGGCGTTCGTTCACGGCCACCTTGGTGAAGAGCATGGCTGCCTTTTCCTCCTGGATGTCGCGAAGCGTGGCCAGACTGAACAGCTCTGAGGCCGGAAGGGCGCCACGTTGCTCCACCACCCGGCTGTACACCTTCTGGAAGGCGTCCACCTTGGTGTACTGTGCGACACACCAGAACGGCGTCATGTCTCAGACGATCGAGCGGATGGAAGGCAGGTTTGGAAGGCGGGAAACTCGAGCGGTCGTTTTGTCGCGATTCACAATGAACCAGGTTTCCACATCATAGTGGTCCACGTCCCACCATGCATGTAGTCTCACACCGGCACCAAGAAACTGTGTTGAAGTAGGTATGAACCCTAGGTATGAACCCTTTATAATAAACAAGGTGTGTCGCTTTGCTTTGATAAACAAAACGAAGCTGACCAGTTTCAGTTAAAAATTTGGAAGTTCAACCTATTGTCAAAGTTACAATCATTTACTTCCTGCATGCCTGTAACAAACAGCATCCACTCATTTGTGGAGGATGGGGGACGTCAGTTTAACTCTAATACACATATCCTAATTTCGTCAAAAGGTTAAATGGCTGGTACCCAACTGAAGACGAAGCAATGTCTTTTTTTTTTTCTATCTCTTACTTCACAGGACTACGGTATAATGTCGTCCTCAATGTACTTCAGTAAACATAAATTGTTCTGTGCGTCTAAGCAATATAATTTTAATGACACTTCGACGTCATAGCCGAACGAATTGCCTATAGTTTTCAACAATAGACGTGTTGAAAAGGAGCACCAATGTCCGACCATCGACATCTGTCAACCTACTACGACAACAACACGACTCTCCGATGACCCCGAAGAAAACCTTACATGCGAGTTGAATTTAAGAACACTCGAGCACTTGGACAGATACCTTAATGGCTTGGTAGAACCCCGATCCCCTTAGCAACACCGGTCGCATCTTTTCCTCTCTGGCGAGGTCTTCGATGTCCCAGAGTCGCTCTACGTCTTGCTTGACCAGAAGGCTCGCCTTCATGAAGGCTGTGAAGAAGGTGGTCACCAAGATGACGCCGAGGAGCCAGAAGCAGGTGACCAGTCTCTGACTCAAAGGGGCCGGTTTGGACCAAACGGGGACGGCTATAGAAAGAGAGCGGAGTCATAAATCAAGATCAGAGAGGCTCATTTAGACCAAATGCCTTCATTGGCATAATTTAGTGCCCACGGAGGGAATAGGGGAAGGATTATAAGATAAAATAAAATCTAGATAAAATAGACAAACTACCTATCACGTAAAACAAACGAAAAATACTTACTCCCAAAAAGGACGCAGGCCTGGACTGGTTTTAGGGATGGCTATAGGATACAGAAGCAAAAGGTATGCCCGATATTTTGTTTATGGTTTTTGTATTTAACTCTATGAGCACAATAAAATGGGTTGACATATAGCTTTTCTTTTAATAAAAGTATCGGGGTATTAATCATCGGCTTTTATCGTTATGGCTAGTGCGCCCAGTATAGCCAGTAGCGAACAGGGGATCGTAGTAGCCTAATCAAAAGCAAGGAGCACGTTATCTAATTCAATACAAATGTCGAAACAAATGTGACCAGGTTAGTAAAATGATGGACAGTCCGGACCATCAGCTACGCTTCCTTCTCCTCAGCTTGCAATATATGACCCAGGCAAGACGCAATCGACAGCAAGCTACAAGCAAAATGCTCGCTCGCCATCCTCGCTCTTGATTACGTGGAGAGACGCTGGGACCCACGAAGAATGCTCGGCGAACTATTTAGCAGAACAATGTCTGCAGGCCGAAAAAGGCATCGAGTATCCTCAGCATAACAAAATCTCTCCATAGATTTCCATGCCCCTCCGCGTGATCTGTGGGGAAAGAGACGCGCAGGGCCGCATCTGTCCCGATGCACAACACTGAGCACCTTCAGAGAGTACGCTGCACGTGAAGCGCCAGATGAACTGGCCCGGACCACGATGCTCCTCAGGACTTCGCTGAAGGACCTTGTTGATCAGGTAGTGAACCAGGCCGCAGGTTATTAAGCTGATAATGATCATAGTCCATACCTGGAAGGTACATTTTGAAACAGGTGATCGGAATAAAGTATGTCGAATAGCTTATATGACGCGTGGGTGCACCTGAAACTATTGGGTAAGCTGAGCTTGAATCACCATCTGCGAGGTCGCGGGTCAGGCACAAAACGAACCACCGAATGACGGCACTGGCTCGGATTAATATAAAGAACTCGTTCAGCATATTTGTTAGTACACATTCAACGTTTTACTCTGTCTGCACAACACCATTGTCGGCCAATTCCTAATGAATATATACCGCTTCCCGTGCGGTATTGACTGAAACACATCGCAAACCCTCCCCTCTGTGTAACTCGGTCGTAATATTATTTAACGGCCCTTCGATCAAACTCCTTTCCACCATAAGAAAATCCTCGCTGGTCTAGCCATCAGAAACGGCTGCGAAAGATACACATCTTAGGAGGTATTCAGTACAACCTTTCAGCGCAAAAAATTTCAAGTTGCGCTGTACAACAAAAGTTTCCCAACATAGGGCAGTAGTGTTTTACAAGCTAAAGTGACTGCCAGAAGAGTTTGACAGATGCATACGTTGGTGAAAGAACGACACTCACCGCTGGTGTAAACGTGAGGAGTAGGCTGAAAAGATTGTTGCTGAATTGCTTCGGCCTTCCTCCGAGGATGGACATCTCCTCGTAGGAATAGGGTACCGTCGGATTGGCCACAGAAACTCTCTGGCCTGTTATCACCAGCGGACCGGGAGCTATGTCCGCCTCCTGCACCAAAACAAATTAGTCGTCACCCGAAGACACCAAAAGAACGTCTTAAACTTTTTTTTTTTTCATTTTGTTGACCGCAATTGGTTTAAAAAAAATAAGGGGGGGGGGGGGGGTCTACCCCAAAGGCACAAATGATACATACGACTTTAGATCATTCATGATTGGCCGTTATGACGTCACAGGAACGTCTCCAGAAGCATGTTAGTTGTGATGAAATATATATAGGCTAATAGATGCGGCAAAGTGGAACGTTTAGTGCTTTTATATATTATAATAAATGTGCCCGAATTTACTGCTCAGCGAGGCATGCCAGAATCCACTCTCAGTGATATATACGGTCCTTCCAAACAATATTCAGACGTAAAAAAAAAAATATTAATAAACGAGTTGACGGAGTGCATTGAAAATTTTTACAAAGATGTGATTGGTGTACATTTGTGTACCCCAATCACATGTGTTTCGAGAAAACAGTTCAAATCTGAGAAAACTTTTTTTTTCCTCTGTGCGCAGAGAGGAAAACGTTAAAAACTGTCTGGTTGACGCTTCGGCTCACAGGTTCACGTATGACGTATACATATGCTCGGATCTGTTCGATCTGCTTTTGGGTGTTCACCCCCAAAAAAAGGTAAAACTTTTTGTTTTTGCTTTATGATGCGTTATTTGTTGTGCCTTTCAAGACTTTTATCTACAATGAACTGTCTCGACTCAATTGTTTTATCTCGTATCTCATGACGTTTAATGTGCTCTTAACCAGACCGAAACATTTTTTTTAGTTAAAACGTTTCACAAGTGTTTGAGTTCACTACACGACCTTTGTGATTCGCTGTGATTGGCTGCTTTCTCTGTCAAAAGGGTAAGCAGAAACATAAACATTTGAAACGCGTGATCTTTTTTTAACTAAACATTTTAAAGGCTGCAGCCATCAGCAAGCAGTATGTCAAATATGCCCCCCCCCCCCCCCCCCCAACCTGTACGTTTTGATCTGGATGAGCATCGTATCAGTGTGCGGTCGTGTATCGCTACTGAGTGATGCTCGTTAAAGACCCCAGGCTAGCAGTCATACAGCACTGCCTAAATATTTACAGCGGAGCTGTTAAGGGATAGTTTCCCCAGGATTGTGTCCCCCGCAAAGAAATGAAGACACCGAACGCTGGACACCTACCGCCATCTACGAGCGACGGCGGCAAGCCACGTATCTGGTTGCCGCCGTCGCTCATGGATGGCGGCAGCCTTTCCACTCTGACTTGCCGACTTGCGGCCGGCCATTACTTTATACTGTACAACTCCGCTGGTCTTCCTTCTTCACCAGAGTGGAAAGGCTGAACGTTTTTCATCTACAGGGTGTTCCAAAAAATACATTTATAAGATTTCTTTTTTCATTGCAGAAATAATGTATGCATTATCTAACGCTTATTCTCCGCCCAAATGTAGCGAGCGGTCCGAATCAGATGCCAAAGTTTCAAAACTAACCGTTATCTTATTCAAAAGTTATAAGTGATTTTCTGGAAATTTTAATGGAAAATGGGGGCCCGTTTTTGGGCAGCGAGCGCCCAGTCAGCTCCATGTATTCGAGCTCCGCCGGCCACCATTTTTTCCATTCAAATGTTCAAAAAATCACATAACTTTTTATTTTTAGATAACGTATAGTTCTAAAACTTTGGCGTCTGGTGTTAACCGCTACCGCTACATTTTGGCGGAGAATGAGAGTTCAAAAATAGAGGTGATCGCGACGGTGAGAGGTAGAGCGATATTCCTTCACAAACAGGAGGAGCAACGCACTTCTTTTTTAATGGAGTTGCCGCAAAAGATTTTAATAGAAAGTAGAACTAACTTTCGATTCGTCTGCCGTGCCAGTTGGATTCTTACAGTTTCAAGCAACCGCACCCCGGCGGGAGACCCGACCGGGAACTGCATGCTGAGGAGTCGTCTAAGCGGTAGGTGTGTGCCAAAAACATTTTCTACGTTTGGCATTGTCAACATTTGCTTTTGTAATCACTCGTCTATGTTATAGCAGAAAACCGTAAAACACCACCAAACATTTTATGAGGTTTCGCCGCTAGAGATGTCACCGAGTTTGAAACACCCACTTCGTCTGCACTTCGACATCGATGAAATGAAGATCTCACAGGCTGAAGGTGACACCACGTTTAGAAGCGTGTCAAGAAACAAAATTATGGGATAACGCCTTTAAATGTGGAACGCGATAGCGAACATTCAAGCGTGCCTCGCGTGGCCTACCGGGAACAAAGAATCTCTCCTAAAGCAGGAGCATCACTAATTTCCCCCTTATATAGATAATGAATATATGTAATGGATATAAGATATATGTAGGTATATTTTAGATTGGATATTTGTTATTTTATCAAGATGTACCCGTTCCGAATGCCAAAAGCATTTCTTCTTCCTCCGACAACCAGATATTGTAAGAACTACTTGGTGCGGCGTATGAACAATGCGCCAAACTTCCCTTTTTCTTGACGTGAAAACGAGTATAGGTCAACTCACTGTAGACCTCGTCACTGCTTGGGGAACGGGATAGAAGCTCTGAACGCGTAAAGCTAATTCCTCCCATACTCCGATCCACCATAACTTGGCAAACTGCGAAGGCTACGGGGTACACAAAAAAACGTCCAAATGTGAGTTCCTCCCTTCCCTCTTCTCCAACTGCTTAGGGTTAGAGAAGAAGGGAAGGAGAGGCGCTCATATTAACGAGACGAATCTCGGAGAAAAGCTCACTCACTTTTGTGCGGGTCCGGAAAAATGCTCACCAGTCTTTCTACAGACCCCGAGGAAATCTCACCACGAATTAAATTTGTATGTAAAGTGGTCGTTATCATTTGATAGCAGTAGTGCTACCAAGGTGTAAGGCGCCTCTCGCGCAGGCCGTACACTGTGCAACAAAGTTGGCGCGAAGCCATTTTGCGCATTTTACTTATTACAGAAGCGGTTGAGCAGCGTTCAACTTTTATTACGTAGGTTTGTGCCCCGAATGAGTGATTTTCACCGCACTACTAGTTTTGACAGCAACCATAAAAATAAAAAATAAAAAAAATAAAAAAATATCGTTCGTATATGTTGAAAGTGTCACGCTGCGTAGACACTTCACACCAGATGGCTCTGCTGCAAGCAAAAGTGAAAAAAAAAATATTAATTTGTTTTAAATTTAAGTTAGACTTATTTGGTTTAAATCAGAATAATATCACTGTAGCTAGAAAATATTGATTGTTTATCACTATATGTATTTTTAGACACGGCAGGTTGTTTAATCCAATCTTCCAATTGGTGAAAACAATGCGGGGAAAAAAACCTTCTATTTCAACAACGTTTTGTTCATGAAAACCCAGCCATACTAGCACAACAACAGCTTAGTTCTTTGTTAGCGAAAAAGTTGTAATTGCTTTTCTTTTTCGCGGTCTGGTTTTCTTGAAATACGACATTGCTTTCCCACTCTTAATTTCTATTTTTTGCGTTCTGATTTGATTGCATAAAAGATGTGACGTAACTGAAGAATGAAGTCGGAGGTGGAAATAAAGCTCAACGCATCAATTTTCTCCAAAGACCACTGCTTTTTGCTCGTGTTCAGTCCGATATAAATAATTCTTGTGTGACGATTTTGATTTAAATACAGGAAATATGCGCATATTAAAAGCATCAAATAATAAACAAACGGTAAATAAAAAAATAGGAATTATATTTGCGGGAAAGGTTGGATATAAATAATCCTAGAAAAACCGGTCTTCTTTAAATTACGATTTAAAGGGATGCTGAACCGAAACCTGGATTCCACAAAACACGGCGGCAAAAGCGTGCAACGGGATGCCACAAACACCAAAACATCACTCATACAGCGAAATCTCGAACGGATGACTTTTTTCTTTTTTTTTTTTGTAAAAAAGGAGGCGAATTCGACAGATATGCTTACGTCTTGTTTCTCCGAGAAGGAGAGGGACCGGCCTCGCGTCTTCTCTGCCTCGCCACCTTGAGGGAGCGAAACGAGGAGAGGAGGAAACGAGATATCTTGACGACACGCGCCTCGTCGACCTCGTTCAATCTCGACCTCCTTTTTAGAAAAATACGGCCGTCCATTCGCGATATCGCCTTACGAGTAGTGTTGTAGGGATTGTAGCGTCCCGCCTACATCTCCTGCATTTTTTTTTTTTTTTTGAAATCCAAATTTCGTTTTACTTTTCCTTTAATACATCTTTATTTTCATTCTCCACCCTGGCTGTAGCCCTAGTTCCGCTGCTTCTTAAACAAATGGTAAGATGTGGAGATTTGGCAATCCGGTGTCGGTATCATAAAAGGTCATTTCATAAATAAATATCCACAAAGTACTCAAGCTGCAGCCCTCTGCACTAATTATATTTCCCCCCGTTATGTTTTTTTTTTTTTTTTTCATTTTTGTTCAATTTAAAGTATATTATTTTCGTCGGCAACCCCTGACGTGTTTAGGGCGTTATTTCAAAAATAAATGCTGCTAGTGAAGTGCAGAATGACCGCATGAGCACAAAGCATCCCAGCATACTTCAGCCGAGTGAAATATGTCACTTGAGTGAACGCTCGATTCTTAGGTCCGTAAGTGAGCTTTTCCCCGCATCCGTCAAAAGGCCGGTGAGCTTTCCTCCGCATCTGACGGTTTTGTGGTGAGCTTTTCTCCGGTGAGCTTTTCTCCGGGAAGCTTTTCTCGGGAGAGCTTTTTTCCGCCACCCTAACGAGACATGACTGTATTTTTCAGACCCCCAGGCTTCTAAATAAAAGTGAAAAAGAAAAGAGAACAAAAAGGACTTGCGTTTTTCACGAGCATTCCCACGATGCCAGGCCACGTATTGTTGACCGACTCGCCGCCGAACGAACCGTACTTGGGCTTCGCAAAGGTGCAACTGGGATCCAGAATGCATAGAATAAGCAATGCGAAGATCGTGGAGACACGACCTTCGCATCCTACCGGTTCCTTCGCTAGTTGGTGTAGCATTGCACGGACATGGCCTCCGAGATTTTCGGCATGCAAAATAAGCTCTCCTCCGGCCCTTTCAAACGCTAGTTTTCCCAACGGATGGAGCGTGCACAGCTCCTCTAGAGATTTGGCGAGACGTTGCTGATACCGAGCCGCCATTAAAGCCCCTCGATGTGTTTGCGTTTGTCTTGCAAGTAGCGTCAAATGAGCCAGTTCACGTGGCCCGTGTCTCGAGCGGGTCTTGGAAGCAAATGGTGGCGTAGCACTGAAATGAGCGGCACCTATAGAAGCGAATGGCGGCGGGGCACCGGTGTCTTGCGCGTTTCCACAATGATGGTTGGCGGTACTTGAAAGCGTGAATTTTATCCGGGGACTTTAGCCGGCATTAGCATCTCGAACGTTAAATGTGTGTGTGCACACGAGTACAGAGCTTGCATTTTGGTAAACCTTGTCAAGGCTGAGGCGGGCGAGCGCGTTGAGACGCCATTCAAGTGCCACTCAGCTGGTGCGCTGGCACTGGCGGTGCTTTCTTTCATCGAGCCTTTGCTCAGACGCGGCTTCTCGCCATCCAGCCCCGAGCATCAGTAAGCAGTGGGAGGGATTGTCGCAGAAAAATCCACTGCGGCCAAAGGGCCGAAGCCGTCAAAGCCCCGACAATATCAAATCAAGTCATGGCAAGACGGCGTCCGACTGAAGGAACACTGGAGAGGAATGCGAGGAACTACAGAACGAAAACGATGGGAAAAATTAAGCTTACAAAGTTAGAGAACAACATTCGGATCTCACCCTACCGCTTACTTCAAAAAGTAACGCGATTTGCGGTGAGATGCAAAAAGTGCAATTCGGGCAAACATGCCCATTTTAAGCCCAGTGATGTTGATTTGCAGCCCTATAGCATCACCGCAGCGGAAACAGCCGCGTACCATTTTTTCCCCCTCTGTGATAGTCTTTCCCGACGAATTGAATGGCCGGTGATGAACTTTACGCGCCAAGAATCTCGGAGGCTCAAAAAGCTTGTAATGCCCGATGAGGCACCGGCAAGCTTGGCGTCCCTCAGTGCTCGTAAAGTAAGCACGAGTGATTTCAAGCCTGTTGGCGCTCGCAAGTTTCCTAATGCCCGTGTCCCACTAAAGCGACAGACAGAAACAAACGACAGCGACAAGCCTCAAACCAGAGTCTTTCGCGATTTAAAAGGCTTTGTAGAATAAAGGAAGCTATGCTCAAACACGAGCATCATGCACGCGAGGGCATCTTTGGCAGGCTTGCAATCGCTCGTGCTTACTTCACGAGCACTAAAGGACTAAACGCCTACCAAACGTACCATCGCGAGCATGCTGCGTAGGCTTGAGGCTTGTTGCTGTCTTTTGTTTCTGTCTGTCGCTCTAGTGGGACACGGGCATAAAAGCATTTCTCACCCGCCTACACACGTTCCTTACTTGAGTTTGAGCGAGTCGATGGCGGCGTGGGTTATCTTCCCTATGAATCCCAGCATGCGAAGCTCGCCGTTCTCCATCTTCCAGTCGACGTACGGGAGATACTGAAGTGATACGGCCCAGATCTTCATGTATAGTACACCTTGCGTAGCGCGAACCAACAGCTACATGAGCGCGGAATCGGAACTGTGCGACATCTGTGTCTCTGCCCTGCACAAAATTTTAAGGCGCAGTAACTTTGCCTCATACATCGTGCAAAAGACGCGGAGTTTCTTTGCAGACAAGATGGCAGAATTCTTAGTGGACATTGTGCTTCGAACATGACGGCAGACAGTTTGCGTGTGACAGGGCCGTCGTACAAGGAACAAACACGCGCCAGACACGGTGTCTGCCGAGTGCCTTTTATGTATACGTTTTATTAGTACTGTGTCCGCGGCTTACAGGACACCATGTTCACAATGAGCAACATTTGCGTGTGTGTGCCTGCGTTTCTGCTCACTCGTTTGAAAGCGAGTCTGGAACAAACCGAGAGTAAGGTTAACAAGATTACATGTGTTCGTCTTGATACTAATAATTCGCTGTATTTATTTTTCAACCTCCGATGAACTGAATGAAAATCATGAATGTGACGACAAGCGTTTTAATATACACAAAAAAACGCAGATAGATGCTGCAGCTAGTTCTCCACATAATGCCCGCACATATTTAGGCACTTATCATGACCTGGCACAAGCTTTTGAATGACTTCCTCAAAGAAAGTTAGTGTCTGGGTTCTCACACGTTCTCAGACTTTCCATCACACCTTCAAAGAAACCCTCAGTGGCCACATATGTTTTGTTTTTAATGGACGTTAGTTTGTTCTCTCCTAAACTTTATAAAGTTTCCTCCATGCAGATTACGCGTCTGTGGCTATACTTATCAGCATGTTCAAGCGTGATGGAATCACTGAGAACGGCAATCTAAAACCTTGTTTAAGGCAAGTGCCTAAATACTAAATAGGCTCTCAATTACAGAAAGAAGTAATTACAAAAGGATCTAAATTTTGTGCATATTCTAGGCATTCATATATCTTTTGTTTTACCCTTTTACCCAAATCATCGAGGGTTACAAAAAAAGAATACAGCCTTGTTGTTCGCTATTTCTTCTTTGCTGCCCACCAACACGCTGGTGTAGGCGGACAAAAAAGTCAGCCAAATGTTAATGTTCTGCAAAGAAATATGTATCTTAACTGGGGAAACAATACACTTACTGAGAGGTACGCAACCCGCCAACGAGTTGCCCGAATTTCGTCCATCGTCTTCGACGACCCACAAGCTCTCTGAGAGGCGTAGCACTTGAAGGCCCGGTCGTCGATTCAACGATACACTTTTCATTAACGAAATTGCTTGCTCTTTTCGCTTCGAGAAGGAAATATTGACTCCGATAATTGCCTCCAACGATGCAATTAAAGATAGCGTAACAAGGGCACATGGGGAAGGAAACTACGCAATGCCATAACTTGATTGTTTTCTCTGGCCAATGAATCGACAAGAAGGGCACCGGACATTTTATCGGTTAAATAGCGAGCACGAAAGCTATAGCATTCGCAAACATACTCAAAGCACGTGCGGCCTCTGTATGACCTTCCATAAAATTGTTTGCACAGAGGTCTAAGCACAATGACTTTATTGAATCGATTATTAATTATGCGAGCCCCGTTCAATGGACGATGTCGGAAGCTCTACGTTATATCCTTTTTGTCCAACAAAAAATAAAAAAATAAAAGAACAGTCGGTTGACGCGCATGCGAATACCATAGCAGCAACGGGACGGCATTTGCGGATGATGCAACACCGACTAAGCTGAATTGTTTAAGGTGGCTATGTGGACACCCCGCGAACGATGTTGAGCAGTTTCTCCGAATACTCCACTTCCTCCTGAAACTGTTGGATGCCTCGATGCTCGTGCACGAGCGTCTGCAGAGTGGACTCGAGCGCGTCTTTCACTGTCGCTTCTAGAAACTGCGGAGAGTTGCTGGCCAGAGTGAACATAGCCCTCAGCAGAAACTCCCTGCAGGTGCCGTGGATCCTGGGCAGCAGAGCGACCGCGTCCCGGACGAACCCGCACACCTCCAGGTCTGACCGGAAGCTTTCCTCCTGCGAACACAGCGCCGCCACCAGGAAGCTCGCCTTGGTCTTTAGCTTCTCCGACTCGCAGTGGAACAAGATACTCCGAACCACCGGCGTGCCGCCCAGCTGCTGGAACTTCTCAAAGGCCTGCCTGTTTTGTCGAACCATACAGGACACGGCGTAGAGGGACTTGAGCCTTACGTCTTCGTCCGTCTCGTGTTCCACGAGTCGCAGCAGCTTGCGGAGGCTGAGGACGGCCGCCCTCTGGCAGTGTGGGTTGTTCTGCACCAGCTCCGCGATGAGGCTGCATGTCGCCTCCCTAGCGGAGGCGCTCGGGTAGTCCAGGAGCGCCGGTACCACCTGGAATCCTCCCATCTTCTCGAAGTCCTTGGCGTAGTCTACAAAGTCGACGAACCGTGCCACGTTAGACAGGCAGGACACCAGGACTCGGGCGATGTTTTCGGATTCCTGCAGACACTCCCGTATAGATTGAAGGCTGCGCCTCATTTCGTCGTAGGGGTTCACCAGGAGACGGTTAGTGGCTTCCATCAGCCAATGAATGCGATCAGGGTCTATGGCGCTCGGTAGTTGTGGGTGGCCCCGGTCCATGGGTGATATTCGTGGCGGGCGGTTCGGGTCCACGGCTGGCATTAGTGCCGGGAGGACTGGGTTTATAGCTGCCATTAGTGGCGGGCTGACTGGGTCTAGAGCTGGCATTAGTGGCGGCAGGTCCGGTTCCATGGCTGTCGCAAATTGCGGGTGCTCACTGGCGTCCATGGCGCGTTCTGGTTGGAGGTGAAAAGCTTATTCTTGGGCGTTGTACAATAAGACGAGTGCAGTGCGATGCTTCCCGGTCGCTGCAGTGCTCAGTAAACGCCCAGCCTACCCAGCCCGAGGGTTTCAATGCGTTCTTCGTCTTCTTCTTCTTCGTTAGATGCAGCGCAAGGTCACGAGCTATATATAGCCAGTACAAAATCTGGAACTAAGCGGCGAGATTAGGGTCAGGGTGAGGACATCCATTGTTGCCCTGAATGTGCCAGCGCGTAAAGCTCTCGCGCACTCGGTGCGTGACTTGGGCGGTAAAATGGCGTCTGTGCATTAGCCAAACCTACGCGCTCGAGCGAAGTGACACCGGATAGCGTGCACTTCAAAATTCATAAAAAAACGAGTGGGCGGAAAAATGGCTGAGATGTCACCACCCAAGCAAAAGCGCGCGTGCTTATAAAGGCACTCCATGGCGAGATGTTTCGGCGGCGCCCTCCTGTGGTTCCCTCTCGTGACGTCATTACCTTGCGAACAATAAATTCGATGGTGTTCGTAAAGAGCATGGCGGGAGCTTGAAATCATAGAGCTCTGACAGCAACACTGCCGAACGCGTGACGATTGAAGTCCTTACGTTACCCTTATTTCTGTCGATGAGAAACCCTTTGCTGACGTCATAGTCAGCCTTCGGCCAGTTGCGGCAGGCCGACCACAGCGACGCTTTTGATCGGGCACGTCGCCAATACTCCGTTCACCCTTAAATGGGTACGGAAACGAAATGACGTGAGCGTGAGCTCTCTTTTTCTCGCTTCAAAGTCGGCCAGCGAAAAGCGCAATTGCGCCAGTGACGTCAATAGTTATTGCACTGCCAAGGGTACCGTGGTGTCAAGCGTTGCCACTTGGTGGCGCCAACGTGTGACGATCCCGCCTATAAGCAGTATTGTCCTAGGACTGTACGGGTGGAAAGGAAGAAGAAGTCGAACTTATTGTTGCTGATCCTGAGCTCGTCTCTATATTTTCCTTTTTAATCAAAGTTCTCACCTCCCTGGCCAGCCAAAGGCAACATTTTCTTCGAATTGAGTCGATCGCTCATCTGCCATGGCCGAGGCCGGCCCTTCCTCCGGCCAGGACATACCTTCAGTCGAAATGGAAGATCTGCCTATGGGTACGTCAAGTGCTTCGAGCACAATCTCCTACTACGAGAGCATCTCTGACGATCCCGGTGACGATTCCGACCCATATAACCTGGTCCAGAGTCGCAAAAAACGCAAAGCTTCCAGCAGCTCCGAGACAAGTAATAAGACCGTCAGAAACACGAAACAAGAACATCCCCACCTTGTAGTGGTACTGAAGCCAAAAGATCCATCCAAAATAATCGCCACAATCAATCCGCTGAAAATCACCGAGAAGCTAGAGATGATTGCCCCAGATGGAATTATCCTTGTCAGGCCAAACCGAAGGCTGAATCTACTCGCTATAGACACGAGAAACAGAGATGCGACAAAAGCTTTGCTTGCACTGACCACCATCGGAGGCATCCCTGTCCAGGCCTACGAGCCTTTTCCCCGTGAATCGGCCATCGGAGTTGTATACGGAGTACCGTCAGACATAAACGACACGGAACTTCAGGTGGCTATACGAGCTACGGCGCCTGTTATCTCCGTTCGTCGACTAGGCACGTCCCAAGTTGTTAAGGTTGTCCTCAACACAGACATTTTGCCGGAATACATCACGATTGGATATACAAGATACAGGATGGAACCGTTTGTAGAGAAACCTCGCCAATGCTCGAAATGCAATGGGTTTGGACACATTCGAACCGCGTGCACGAAAGAGTCACGTTGCACACGCTGTGGAGGACCACATGAACGCACCGGCTGCAATGCAGACAACCCCCTCTGCACGAACTGCGGCAAAGCTCATGACTCGACATCTCATCTTTGTCCGGCATACAAAAGAGAACAAAAGATATACAAGTACAAGAGCCAAGCTAAAGTTGGCTATGCGTCCGCGAAAGCGGCGCTGCTCGCATCGAAAGAACAACTGGCAGAAGAGACCCCTAAAACGACTGCGTCAAAGGAAAACAAACCATTTGCAGCTCAAGAACTCCCAACGAGCGAAGACTCCTCATCAGCCAAGCAGTCCAACCTGAGACACCTGCAGAAATACGCGAAGAAAAACACGAGTAATCCCCCAATCAAGTGGAACAGTGAAGATGAATTTCCAACTCTTCCCACACAAGTTTCAAAATCCACGGATAAATCAGAAGGAGAAACCAAACGACCCGAAAAGAAGTCTACACGACAGCAACCACCAATGTCTGAGGCCAAGATTCAGACAGTTGTCAATGTCATCCGCAATCTTCTTTGCTCTTGGGATTCGCCTATAGCCAAAGCGCTTATTACGTTGATTGATGCTGTCCTTCCATTCGTGATGCTCTGGTGTCACTAGATAAATTACGAAGTGAGGCCACTGTCCTTCAATGGAACGCAAGAGGTTTTCGAAATAGGCTGTCAAATTTTCGGCAATTCCTCTTCAAACACAAATTTCCTGTAGTAGCAATTTCGGAATCAAGAGTAGGACCTAACATCAGATTATCTGGTTATGAGCTTCTCCACTCCCACAGAGAAACCGGTCTTAGCAGAGTATTACTCGGCATTCGAAAATATCTCACATTTATTGAGCACAATATTTCGTCCCATATGACAAATGAATATATTGCTGTGACTATAAAAAAAGGCGATATCTCATTCAGTGTTATAACTGGTTATATACCTCCTCGAGCAGAATTTGACACTAAGAGACTTGAAGCTATTCTCCAACAAACCCCGCCACCACGTCTTCTGACAGGAGATTTTAATGCTCACCACACACTGTGGGGAAGTGCGAAGAATAATGCTCGAGGAAGGGCATTACTTGGAATTACGCTAAACCATGATCTCGTAATACTAAATGATGGAAGTCCTACATTCTTTAAAGGTGCATCAGTGAACAGCCCTTTAGATATTTCGTTTGCATCTTCAGGTCTTGCTGAAGAAACTACATGGTTCGCTGACATTGAAACTCACGGAAGTGACCATGCACCGACACACACCACAGTGAGAGGTCTGCGTTGTTCCAAACAACGCTTCTCGGTACCTTCTACCGACTGGAAAATATTTCAAGAAAAAATGGAAGCTGTCAGTTTTATGCTCACTGGAACAGAATCCTTTGTGAATGCCATAACATCTTCCACTTCAGAAGCAACAAAATATTTCAACGTGACAAACCCGCAGACAACGGTTGATGGAGAATATGAGCGTCTTCGTGGCATCCGTCGAAGGGCTGAACGAAAAGCAAGAAAAACACAAGACGTTGAAGATATTCAGGCTTCCAGACGAGCACAAAAACGTGTACAGCGGCACTTAGACAAACTTTCAAGAAGACGCTGGAGGTCACTGAGTTCCGGCCTTGATCCCAGGAAGCCAACTACCCGAATATGGCACATCACGCGAAGCCTCAGCGTAAGGCCAAAGCAAATTCACCCCTTCAGAGCCATTTCTTTGAGACGGCAAATACCCGAAACAGTCGTGGCAGAAGAGTTCTGCATAAAGATTACAAGCTGCCCCTCCGGTAACAATCACAGCAAGGGTGCCCCAGATGGTCACGTCCCTGTAAGTGCATGTAATTCTATGGACGACCGTTTCAACTTAAAGGAACTAGACATAGCACTTGCTACATCCAACACTAAGTCCTGTCCAGGTCCAGATGGCATACGCTACTCAGCCTTACGTCACTTGGGGGAAGCTGCTAGAATGGCCCTACTCACTTTATTCAATACCTCATGGGAGACTGGCATTATACCCCAAGATTGGAAAATCGCTCGCGTAATACCAATTCTCAAACCAGGGAAACCACCACTCGATATCAATTCATATCGCCCGATCGCATTAACTAGCTGCATAAGCAAAATAATGGAACGCATGCTGCTTGCACGCATGGAGTGGGATCTTGAAAATAGATGCATTTATCCTTCATCCATGAGTGGTTTCCGACGTGGTAGGTGCAGTATTGACAACGTTATAGATCTAGTGTCTAGTATAGAGCAAATGAAATCAGTCAAGCAGGTCACCACCGCAGTATTCGTCGACATAAAAGCGGCCTTCGATTCGGTAGAACACGAGGCCATACTTTCCGACATGAAGGCGATTGGTTTCGGAGGGCGCTTATTTACATGGATTTCCAGCTACCTTAAAGAACGAAAAGTCTATATATCAACACAAGATGGCAACACTGACTTCCATGAGGTCAAACAGGGGGTTCCCCAAGGTGGGGTACTCAGTCCAATGCTGTTCAGCATATGCCTTATAGGCCTTCTGAAGGTACTCCCTGTTTCTGTCCATGTATCTTTATACGCTGACGATATATGTTTCTGGTCATCGAGCAAGTCTTTATATATAAACAGAGCCAGGCTACAAAAAGCCCTCAACATTGCCGCACGGTACCTTAGCAGCCGAGGCTTGTACATATCACCAGAGAAGTCTGCGGCGTTGGCGTTTACAATGAAACAAACATACAGATACCCCATTAACTTAGAAGGAATCCCAATCCCATATGTCTCCGAACATGCATTTTTGGGCGTGACTCTTGATAGGCAAATGACGTGGGGACCCCATATTAAACGGTTAAAGAAAAAGCTCACCTCATTTACACATATAATCAAAATGATCAGTGGAACCAGATGGGGATGCTCTGTATCGGCGCTGATGGCTCTGTATAACGCTCTATTTGTCGGTCTTATGCGCTACAGTTTGCCAGTCATGCAACGTGTCTCGCGGTCTTGTTTTAAAGAACTTGAAAGCGCGCAAGCTCAAGCACTTCGTGCCTGCTTTGGATTGCCAAAATGTACCTCCACCTCTGGAACTCTGGCGGAATCTCGTGCGAAATCTCCCGCAATATTAAGGACGCAAGAAACACTGCGAGCTCATCTACGACACAAAACCAGAGTGTACAAACACCACCTGGTAGACATTGTCAAATATAGACCATCATCTGGCTTTGCGCAAGTTATTATGGTACTAGAAGACTATATGCCAAGTTCAATTGAGGCAGCTGCGATTCCACAATATCCACCTTGGGAGTACCCTCACTTGGAAATAAGAACAAGCATACCAGGAATCACTAAAAAAAATTCAGCTCCTTCCCCGGTAATTACACAGATATCTCTCGAATATATTCAAAGAACTTACGAGTCATTTACTCATATCTACACCGATGGTTCTACAATTCCCACATCTTCAGCCCTGGGGGTATACATTCCATCCACAGCCACATACATAAAGGCTAAACTAAGCCACGCCACCTCATCAACAGCGACAGAACTAGCAGCTATTCGTGCAGCTGTTGTACACGCGGGCACTGAAAGCCCACGATGTTGGGCAATACTTGTCGACTCCAGATCTGCGTTGTACGCTCTATCTTCGACAAGAAAAGACAACATTAACTCACAACTAGTCCATGATATTTTACAGGCTATTCAGCATGCATCGAATCAAGGACATCACTTCATCTTGCAGTGGATACCGGGCCACTCCGGGATAATTGGAAACGTGTGCGCCGATAGAGCCGCTAAAGACGCCCACGAGAGCACAATTTCTGTATCGATTCCGTTTTCAAGATCTGATGCCAATCATTTAATCAAATCTATCGGAAATGAAATCTCACTATCTTTATGGGAAAATCCGCAATATCACTATTACAGCCTTCACCGTATTGATCCTAAACTCGAATTCCGGATACCACGAGGACTACCAAGGAAACTTGAGACGGTGTTACATCGTTTGCGGCTCAATGTTGCATATACTAAATATTATCTTCATAAAATTGGCAAAGCTGAATCTTCCGATTGTTCATCGTGTAGAACAATTCATAACATCGAACACGTCCTGTGTGCCTGCGGGGATTACAGTATTGAAAGGACCGCACTGAAGACTCGCCAGAAATTAAAGGAAGAGGACCAGGTGGACTTGAAGCTTCTGTTTGGACCCTGGCCTTCCACTGCAGACAGTTACAAGGCCACTGAAGCTCTTTTACATTTCATTAAGAAGGCACATCTTCAACAAACACTTTAAGGAACTGCAGTCCAGTGTGCTGCAAAGTGAGCCAACACTTGCCAACATAACAGTTTTGTGAGTTTGTATGTGTGTGTGTATTGTGTGCGTGCGCATTTTTTTTTCTTTTCATCTTTTTATCTTCTTTCTTCGTATCTTTGCTATCTTTGTCTATACTATTTCTTTTTATTTCCTTTTCTTTTTTTAATTTCATCTACTTTCACAGCGTAGCAAGCCGGCACAAAGCGCTGGCTGACCTCGCTGTCTTCCTTTCAATAAATGCTAATTTCTCTCTAGGACTGTACGTTCTAGCTTGCCCATAACGTCGTTCGCGACCATAGCAGTACTTAATGTACCACGAGCGTTGGGGTCACCGTGTTTTATTTCATACCGCCGAAGTAATAGCCTGAGGGAACCGGTAAGTAGAAATAACCGTTAGTACCCTGCAGCAATGGCAAGGGGGGTGGGGGTGGTATGGTTGATTTGGTTAAAGCTCCTTCATCCTGGGAAAAGTGGCGCCATTCATTGTTGTGGAAATGCTCGAGACACGTGCTTCGCGCCACTTCTGGGAAGAACCTGGCGTCTGAAAGCTAGCTCAGGGCTGCGTTATGCCGCCATGATCTTTCCAGCGGCTGCAGGTTGCACGTACCTCGTGCATCGACGTACCTTGCACTACTTTTGAAACATGAAAGGGCTTTAGATTTGGCATAAAGCCCCTCTGTCCTGGGAAAAGTGGCGCCATTCATTATTGTTGTGGAAATGCTCGAGACACGTGCTTCGCGCCAGTTCTGGGAAGAACATGGCATCTGAAATCTAGCTCAGTGCTGCTCTACTTTTAAAACATGAAGGGGCTTTAGGTTTGGCAGAGGTATCCACATCCTCAGATCAAGCCCCTACCTAACGTCTTGAAAAAACGGCGATCTTGATGGTGTGGAATGCACGCTGCGGAAGCAGCGTGCATTCCACGGGTGCTTCCGCAGCGTGCCATACGAGCGAGCCATACTGCCGCGAACTGGCGCTGCTTTCATAAAACTCATGACGTGGCGGCATTTCAACGGAGCTTTACAGAACGCCACCAGACGCAATTTCGAAATCTGTTATTTTCTTCTAAAATCAGTTTTTTTATATTTTTTATTTACTTTTTTTTTTTTTTTTTTTGCCGCTAAGAAACTAGCCTAGGCTTGTGTTGCTGGGCTGCCGGTAGAACATAGACACATCGAAACAAAGAAATGAGTGCAAACATTTCGTTTCCGTACCATTTTAAAAGGAACGTGCAACGATATTCGCATGGAATGTTTTTCGCTTTCACTAGCTTATAACCCAATAGACCTATTGCTATATTCCCCAAGCATCAAGGAGAATGCAGGGATTGGTGTTCCGCGCGCCGCACGGGGTAGCTAGTAACTTTTCTAAAGCAAAAACCTAAAACAAATTGTATCTTGCACGCGCGTTCGTCAACGTTGTATTTTTTGGTTATTTACTTCGAATCTTTTATACGGGAAAGGCGTGCGCGTGTGGAACACCAATCCCTGCATTCTCCTTGATGCTTGGGTATTATAGCAAATGATCTATTCACACGGTCAACATAAAGGTATATACCTTTAACACAGGTCCCTTTGCTATCGGCGAATCAGCCCGTGCTCTTTCGTAGCGAGCACACGCCACGCGCGGAAGATCGTTAATTGATTGGCCGCAGAGAATAAAGGTCCCTTAGCTAAATGCACCTTTACGGTCGTGTGAATGGGGTATTACTGGCACTATACTTCGTTGACCCTTAAAAATACGAGGTAAGAAAAACTTTATTTAAAAAGATCGATTTTAGCTTTTTTATTTTTTTTCAATATGAAATGTTTATTTCTTTCTGCACATTTTCAATTGTCACGCTGTTCTTAGAAAGTCAACTTCGGGCTGAAAGACACTTTTTTCGAAAGCAAGTAGCGGGTGACCACGCCCCCTTTTGGGATACGCTCCTTGTTTATGAATAAATAAAAAAAAAAAAATCAACACTACATTTAAAAGCATGTCCGGAATGAGCTACATCTTAAAAATTATCTGGCAGATATTGCATAGCTCTTTTTCAACGAAGATAACCCCGAGACGCTGTGCAGGTTAAAGTGTCTACTTTCAAGTGCTTTCAAGCGCCTGTGTTTTTGTAATGACAAAATGGCGAGATTTGACGCTGTTCTTACATTCGATGATGGTCGCACTGCACCAGCCAATATTTTGAAGTCCTGTGGACTGAACCCCGGGTGGAACACCATCAAGTGGCCGAGGGAAGTTTACCACATTCGAATATATACTTTGCGTTCCGAGCGGCACGACAGGTCACAAAAAAGGCCTGACAAGCTGAAAAGCCAAGACATATGAGTACCAAGCTGGAGGCTATTGAAGAAATGACTCTGAAGGTTTTGGTGCAAATAGCAACTTGTTATTCACCTGTTTTTTTTTTGTTTTTTTTTTTTTACTTTAAACTCAATTATTTGAAAGCAGTGTTTTTCAAAAAGTACATGGGTACCGAAGTTCCTCCATAAAGGGAAAAACTTTCGTCCCTAAAGCAGGGAAGCAAAAGTTCCTCAGTCGCCTGCATCTCGTTATGGCGGCCCCGAATCGAGCAAATCGAGCTACGAGGACGCCACGTCTCTTGTACGAGACGAGAGGAGCAGCAAATAAGAGCGTAACACGAGCTTTCCGCGAACTGTGTTGATTTCCGAAGCCAGCTTCCCCCCGCAGGCAGAGAGACTTCCGTTTCAAAAGCAGTTACTCGGTCTTCTCGTCGTCGGAAAGCAGCGAAGTTACCGGTCTTCAAACAATAGGGCGCCCTATTAATTGAAGACTGGTGGCTTCGCTGGGTTTTCATGGGAGTTAAGCCTTTTTCTTTCTTTACTTTTTCCTCGGGTAAGTTCGCTCTTTGCAAATTTTATGCAAGAAATGCACCACCTGTGGGCAACGCTGCACGAAATCGTAGCGCGATAGGTTAAGAAACCGAATTTTGCGGTAGATTTAAAGAGCCTGCCTGCTATTTAAGACACCCGATAGATTCCTGAATATCTTGAATCAGAGTTGAAATCCTGCTGTGACGATACGCGCGCACATGGAGGAGCTCTATCAATCAAGCCCCATCAGTAAACGGTAAAAGACGTATTCCAACGTCCGGCTACACCATTCAAGTTCGATCATGTTTCATAGTTATATTTTCCCTGTGCAGTCCATATTACACTGACCTACAAGCGCAAGACTGAAAACTCGTCGGTTTGTGCAGAAATGTAGGTCGTTTTATTGGGCGCTCTGGAGAACTTCAAAACAGAAAACACCAATGAAACGAAAACAAAATGTCTCCATCCAAAAGAAAAAAAGAGTTAATGAAATATATCATTCCTTAATTAGCACTGACGACGAACTTCATCAACGTAAACAAAACAAAAAAGAGCAAAAAAGAAGAAAACAAACAAAAAAACAAACAAGGGGAACAGTTTCTTTTTCGCAGATATTTCTGTTCAAACAAAGGGAACAGTTTCTTTTTCGCAGATATTTCTGTTCAAACAAAGGGAACAGTCTCTCTTCCAGGTATTTCTGTTCAGACATCGAAAACAAAGTAGAGAAAGGCAGAGAGAGAGAGAGTGTGTGTGTGTGTGTGTGTGAAAGAGAGGAGCAGGAAGCTCGAAGCATGTAGAGCACCGGGGGGGGGGGGATCAAAGCTTGAAGTTGAGAACTGGAGGGGGGGGGGGGGGGGGGTTCACTTGAGGTAGCCGTACTTCATGTCTTGTATGAAGCTGGCTTCGTGGTCGTACAGGCACTGGCAGTACTTGGAGTTGTCGAACGAACCGTGCAGTCCACCGTACTCTTCCGGCAGGATGCTGGGAGGCAGGTGCTTGTGCAAAGAACTCATGTCAGATCCGTGGATTTGTATCTGCGTGACAAGCAATCGGGCATGCGTCAGTGTGCGAGTAAAGTCAGCACCGCCAAAATAGAAAGCTATAGCGCTGAATTTTCTATGTCAACTACTGACGGCCAGTGCGGGTCCCATATTGGACATAAGTGCCACGTCAACGTTCAGCTGGAATTTGTGTCCTGACTGAGTGAACGCGAGTTCCAGACGAACGCCGGCGTATAGTATACTCGTGTCAAAGCAAAAACCGTTAATGTTCGCGAGCCCTTTATTGTCGCGAATTTCGCGACTTGTAAAATTCCAGGAGGTTTAGTGGGCGTCAATGTTCTTATTGTCTGTAGAGGCGAATTTTAGCCTTTAGAATTCGCGAAATTTAATGGTCGCGAATATGACCCCGCTGCCCAATTCGCGGAAAATCACGGCAGCGAAAATAAAGGGTTTTACAGCATGTGCCCCTCACTGGCCCTTAGCAGATGGCGTATAACATACAGCACTACAGATTTCTCTCTTAAGTTGTGATGGTATTCGCACGAATGTCAGCACATATTTAGGTATGTTTAACTAACTGATTTTGCAAAAACGTGGCACGCACGATTAACCCTCTTTGAAAAAAAAAAAAAAAAATCCGGTAAAACTTTTAAAACGTCTGGTAAACGGATTACACTGGAGTTTGTCCCCTTAGTTTTTGTCGAAGCCGAGAAGCACTCCTAATCATGTTCTGCACGGTGACTGGCCGCTGCTGAGCTGGGCCATTATAACCGCGCCTGAATCACAGGAGGTTTCTTTAAACTTTAACCGAGCCTGCAACGTCTGCGCGAGTAGAGCAGGAGCTTTACATCGAAGTGAGCGCGTTTGCAAAGCGTAAGGCCCTAAGAATATAACATCCAATTCACATGGCCATTATAGGGTGCTTTTAAGACTTTGCACCCTTTGCAATCGGTGAGTCAGCCCGCGCTCTTGGGCCGTGAGCACACGCCATGCGTGGAGGATTGCGAACTAAATCGCCAAAGAGGTCCCTTAGGTCCCTTAAATCCCTTAGGTCCCTTATGTTCCTTAGATTCCTTCGCTCCATAGGCCCCTTGGTTAAAGGTACCTTTATGACTGTGTGAATGGGGTTTTGGCTGCGCGTGCGCCGAAGTTTTATTAAAAGTATTAAGCTCGCGCTGGAGGCATAGCGTGTACTTCATTCTTAACCTGTCACCCTGGCGACGTACGCGACCAAAAGCGTAGGGTCGGTCTTCCACGATGGCTCAAACGCTCATGATGACGTCTTGAGCCTCATGAATTATACATTTGATGGTCTTGATAAGAGAAATGTCAGACTGCCAACACGTTTATGGTTTAAGAACGCGATGACTCCAAGCTTCCACCGTGCTTTTTACACACACCGCCGAAACTGTAGCTGGCAATCTTTTTTATAGTCCTTGTAATGACATCACAAAGAAGAGCCATCGGAACATCTCATCACCAATAGAATCACGCTGTACTGCACCTATGGCAATCACCGTGGCCAACGATGCTCCTATACGTAGACCTACCGCGATACAGGACAACAATCAAGTAAGGAAAGCGATGCAGAAAAGCTTTCGCCTACCCTATTGATGTTCTTGCTGGTGAGGAAGGGTTTCGCCAACGAGAAGAAAACGTTGAAAACGGACGGCTGGTAGACCACGTGGACCGCCTTGAAGCGCGCTGGCAGGCAGTCCTGTTCGGCACAATGGTAATAGCAGTATACTCAAGTAACTCGTTTTAAGCCGGAGTAACACTGCTCAAACATCATACAAAAGACAGTCTGCAAGCACGAGATATCGCAATATCCGTGGTTCGAATGCCACGTGCCAAGTCTCTTCCGACTCATTACCAATCGGGCATTCGAAGCACAGATCTCGCAGTGACTCGCGTTCGAATCTGTATGCAGACTCTCTTTTGTATACTAGTGTGACCCCGGATTTAGTAAGGGCATGATACACAGCCTTGTAACTGGGTACAAGGGGGGTCTAAACGAGCATTTGTGGGGCTGTTACGTCCTCGGCTTGAGTGGCGAGAGGCGATCCTCAATCTACCGAGGGAAAGGGCTATGGTTACGTGACACACTCTCCACGGCCAGTGTTGGGTAAAGTACATCTAAAAATCACTTGAAGTAACATACAAAGTAAATGAGAGGTTACGTACTTCAATTAAAGTAGTAAGTACGCCGGGTGCAATGAAGTTGAAGTAGATTACTATAAATACAATGTACTTTCAAAGTAAAGTACAATTACTTTTCAACACAACCTTTGATGGTGCCCTTTCATTCCCCTAACAGTGTTTTTTCTTTTAACTGGTGCATTGACTCAACGGAAATAGGGGTGCATCAGCTGCTTTCGGAAATGGCGGCGAATTTTGGATATAGTAGTTGTTTTACTCTCGCTCATAGGCGTAGACTTCGGGGGGAGTCCGGTCCCGGGGCCATGATCCTTACCGGGACGCTGTTTACGTGCCATGTAACCAGCTTCTATAGTAGTGGTATGTAAACAAAATATCGTCCACGTTGCCTTTATTGACAAAATACATGGGAAATGGAATCCCAGCATGCTTGCGTTAGGTTCAATCTCCAGTTGGCAGGCTGAGAAGTTCCCCCCCCCCCCCCCCCCCCCCCGGGAGAACTTCTCAGCCTGCCATCCCCCCCCCCCCCCCTCACCCCTGCCCCCCGGGAAAATGGTAAGTCTACGCCGCTGCCTCGCTGACAAACTATTTAATTCAATCAACTTATAAAGCACTTATTTGTTGACAAATCCAAATTTTGTTATACACAATTAACAAGAACAAATTTGGTGAATGTACTTTAAGGTAAGGAGTTGTACTTTCCTCGGAAAGTACCAGAACACATACGTTAAGCAAAGTACAAGTACATGCTCAGAGAATGTACTTCAAGTAAAGTACAGGTACATACTCAGAAAATATACTTCAAGTAAAGTACAAGCTTCCTAAACCTCTTTGAAGTAGTACTTTAAGTACAAGCTTCCTAAACCTCTTTGAAGTAGTACTTTAAGTACAAGCTTCCTAAACCTCTTTGAAGTAGTACTTTAAGTACAATCTTCCCAACACTGCCCGCAACTGACATGATTCTAGAACATGGCGACACAGCACACACGACTCAGCTGCCTCGCGGGATTCGCTTCGTTTGATGGCAAGGTACAGCAGAGAACTGTGAAACGTTCTGCTTACCTGCAGGAGGTCGATGGTCTTGCGCACTTGCGAGATTGGAAAGGCGAGTAAGTGCTGAAGTCCCCATCCTCTGCAGTCCAGAATGCAGACGAGTCCGTTCACTTGAACCGCTGGGTCCAGGCAGATGTGTTCCAGGCACAGCATGTTGGCCTTGCGCAGCTGGTAGTAGTCGTAGTCACTTGGTTTCCAGCAGCCTGCAGCCATATCATCATTTCGCTTGTACATGGTTCCACGTTAGGCAATCCGATCGGTATCCATCGTCTGCAAGATGGGCTTATGCAGTGATTTTCTTACCTATACCTCCTAAGGGACGTGTACGCTCCCTATCTTGTCTGAGGGTACCCCCTTAAAAAATCTTCCGCTAAATACAAAAAAAAAAAAAAAAAAAAACATTTTGTTCCCGCGAAATCGTTGTCTTGACGAGCGCGCGGGCTCACATTGACCTGGGAGCACAAGTCATTTCGTCACCTGTAATCCACAAAGTTTAGCTCCTTGGCTTCTTCCCCCGCTGACGTAAAGGAAAACAAAGGAGAGGTTTGCCCGGTCTCGGGTACCGGGTTGGTACAGTCATAAAAATCTTAGGTGCGTGCACGTAGCGCTCACCGCATACGTTTCTCGGTAAAGATCACTGGTTTTGCACACTGCCGCGGGAACAGCAGCTTGTGACGTGGGCGGTGACGTCACCAGCCTTTCATATTAAAACACCCTTTTGCTGTTAACAAACATGAACTTCCGCTTGCGTCCGTAGCGACTTCCGATCGCTCTGTCTTTGCAAGCCTGTCGAGCTTGCTTATGTCTCCAGTGATAGAAAGCATAAATACTACATGGACAGCAACGTGGGATATTTAACGAGGGCCTTCGACTGTACAGTCTTGAAGGATTCAAGTTGGTTTACAAGAATATTCGAAAAATTTTTTTAAAAATACGGAGCTTTTTTGTTCTCTTGGCGTTCACCTGGAGAATTGGTAACGTTTCATCGACATTTCAAGTAGCAGCGTTGAGGTGGGCTTTGTTTATTATTTTTATTAACCGGAAGTTCTCTGGGACGTCAAAGACTGGAGCGCCGCCTGGCGGCGTTTGCCACGAAAGGGGTCTATATAAAGAAGTTTTGGTACAGTGCATTTACTTCTCTTTCGTCAATCATTGGGTATAGTGCAGTAGGCAATCGTTGCAGGTGATACTAGTGCCACTAAATAAGCTACACTTCAGAGTAAGGACACTTGGCCATATTGTGGCTTAAAATCATGGTTGCCAGTTATCTGATGCTTTATCTGAAATCACAGGAAATGCTTTTCCGTCCTCAAAAAATGTTTAAACAGACCGCGACAGAGAAAAGCAATATTACATGAGCTTCCTAACACCGAATCGAATGCTGAGGAAGTCGCGCTTTTGAATCATGACGATCGGCAGTTGCGTCTGCTCTGCACAAGCCCCAATATGGCGGCGCCCACAACAATGTCGGGGAACGGAGTGCCTAGTGCCACTAAATAAGCTACGCTTCAGAGTAACGACACTTGGCCATATTGTGTCTTAAAATCATGGTTGCCAGTTATCTGAAGCTTTATCTGAAATCACAGGAAACGCTTTTCCGCACTCCACAAATGTCTAAACAGTTCACGACAAAGCAAAGCAATATTACATGACCTTCCTAACACCGAGTCTAATGCTGAGAAAGTCGCACTTTTGAATCATGACGATCGGCAGTTGCGTCGATCTGCTCTGCATACGAGCCAAAATGGCAGCGCCCACAACAATGTCGGGGAACGGAGTGCCAATACTCTAAGCGCATTTCATTTAGTGGCTCTAGGAGTGCCGACACTCTAAGCGCAGCACATATAGTGGCTCTAGGTGATACCACAGCTTCGCTGGCCAACCGCCTTCACAGCGTGGATGGGCGGCCCGACATTTTTTTATTTAAAAAATAAAGACGGACTACTTTTTTTTTTTTTTTTTTTGGGTGGGGGGGGGGGGGGGGGGGGCAGGGCATGTAAGTACGTGCATTATTAAAATGTACGAACACCAACCAAACCCTTTTATAGGGACCCTACATTTCCAAGCCAATTCGACCCCTTTAGGGACGACTACGGCTATGGCCGTTGAGGAGCAGTGTCCTTTTCTTGTTCTTGTATACAGTGGGTTCCTAGCATATTTAAACAACGCCCCAGAATATCAATCGGCCTCTCGGAGCTTCCCCACCCACATATGTGAACGGGCTTCGTCACTTTATTGAAAAGGTACAACCGTAGAAGAAGAAGACCAGATACCCACCGTAGAAAAAGAATTAATTATTAGTAACCAGACAGATCTCTGTCTAATGTTTATTTTTAAGTATGTACATGTTTGTAACGTCAGAGCAAGATTGATACATAGCTTCAAAATACATAATTTTGCAGTAAATGAGTGATAACACTAGGCATGCAGTGATTTAATAATTGGAATGGAAAATTCCTCGAAGGGCACTGATGAACGAATCGAAGGTGACGTTGCTTGTAATGCTATGAGACAGTCTATTCCAGTCTCAAACAAATGTAGAAAAAAAATATTTCCTTTATTGAAACTTAATAAAAAAGATTCCATGCTTCTGCCGCGTGTCCCGACTGAGATTGTACATCAGGTAATCCTCGAACTTCATTCCGATCTTATCATGTATTACCTTGCACAAAAATTTCAAACGCTTCACTTTTCTCCGGGTCGATAATTGCGTTAATCCGGATAATGCATAAAGCGATGACACAGACGTATGCAGGCCGTATGCATCATAAATACGTCGAAGTGTCTTTATTTTATATTCCTTCCAGTTGGTCAATAAATGACTGGAATACACGTCTCATAAAATGTCCGCGTATTCCAATAACGGGTGAATCAAAGGAGTGTACGCCACTAGCTTGGTTTCAGGAGTGCAATGTCGCACTGCCCCTTCGTAAACTTCACTGTTTTCGGGGACGCGTCTGCCATGCATTGCTTGCACTGACGTCATATCGTGTACTTTTGACCACCATGTAAGAGGAGGGTATCCAACGTTACTAACACCCAGTTGGGAAACTCACCCCTGAAACTCGGACGGGCTCGCGTCCACCGAGACCAAACTAAATACGACAACAGCGCCACCGTCTAGCGACCAGTCAAAACATAAAAAAAATCATTTATGTTGCTACTGCAAAATGGCACTAGAGATGGCGCCACCGGCCTTTGCGCGACTCGACCTAAACCGATATGGCCAGACGAGCAGTTCCCGGATTGGCCGCTGCGGGAGAAATGGCGGCGTTGCGATCGCCATTAGTTCGGTTCTCGAATACGGACCGAAGCCTCTTTTCACCAAGAACGTTCACGACCAAATATCTTGGTCGCTAACGTTCTTGGTCGTTGTGGTCGACATTCGCGATGGGTCAAACCATATATCTTCGGGCGAGGCAAATTCTGCCAATCACAGTGACGCAAATCCTACTCGTGACGTCACGAACGGAAACAATAAAAGGGCGCCACCGAAAAATTTCGTAGCGAGCGTTCCGGTTAGCGTGCGTCGTCTGGGCTTGATCGCGGAGCGGGGAGCTTTGATATGCATCTTCCGCGCGTCTGAACAGTGTTGAGCATGGTTTGGAATTTCTGGTGCGTGTTCAATTATTGTGTTGGCGTGTTGTGATCGACTGCGTAGGAGCGTGCGTTTCACATTTGTCAGCGTGAGCGTATGTATACTGGTGCGGTGGTGTACGTATGTTTGTTCCTTTCTTCCGTGTTCCTTTCATTCCCAATATTTTGGTGCATACCTGCTGGTTATTGCTTTACGTTTTCCCCTGTCTCACTTTCTTCGTTCGTAACTTTAAATATTTTCTGACATCATATTTTTAAAAAAAGTTCGCTCTGAAGCTGGAATGATACATTTTTGTTTCGAAACAAATAGAGCAGTTAAACAATAAGCATACGCCATATTTGTATTTAGTAAGAAAAACCTACAAATTTTGTTTAGAACTTTTGGTCAGTGTGGTACCAGAGATTGTATCTCATATCGACGTCTTCTTTGCTACGTCGAAAGACAGGGTGCGACTAGAATTCATAAATATTGATCGCCCCCTTTTTTACCGTGAGATAAACTGTTCTGATATGTGTTCGCATCGCAAAGAGAAAGCTTTCACTTTCGCTGACGATTCTTCATAATAGTGGAAACGTTTCTGTGCTGGCCGATTCTTCTTCAGTCAAATATTTATTTGTTATCGACCTTCATTGGTGGTATCCCATGCTAATATTTTTTAACTTTGGTTTTTGCATTACTTTATGCTATTTTTAATGAAATTACACGTTTTTCATTAATTACCTCGCTTGTTCTCCACTTCGCGTAAGCTCCTCGGATTCGCCGAGTTGCGTGTCTTTTCTGTAGAAAGATGCTCGGAACTGCTGGACTAGCAGTCATTTACTGAAGATAAACCTCTTCTTCTTCCACACTTATTGGTTCAGAGATATGAAATGAATAGGTGTGGAAGATCTTCAGTACATGGTCCCTAATCCAGCAGTGTGCTTGTCCTCTTTTCTCTCTCTCTCTCTCTTCGGTTACGTTCTTACGTTAAGCTAGCATCTTTCAGAGGCATGAATCACCGACTAGTTCAGTTTCGACGACGCAAGTTGCTGGCTGTACAAGTCGAGGAGCACGCGCAAGGAACCTTTCGTGATGTCATGTTTTCCTTTCTGCTTTTACTCCCCTCTCTCGCTGCCGCGGAGGGGCGTGGTTTCAACGCATCTTCAAATGCATCTTTTTAGGTAATGCGGGCATAAAAGAGCTCGTTTGTTGTAATATTCGTGATGCTTGAAGTCGGATTAAAAAGAATCAATTGTTTTTTGTTTTTTTTTTAAATAAAATTCAAAACCAATTCAGCTTCTTTTTAAATGTTTACTCTGTTACCTTGAATTTAGAGTCTCAGAAACTCTGTCGGGCACCATGCATGCATCCCTGTCCCCCCCCCCCCCTCTCCCCCCCCCCCCCTAAAAAAAAAAGAAAATAGCGGAGAAAAAGTAAATACAGTTAAGAAAGTGCCTCCTTTTGCCTGCCTCTCCTCCTCCTCCCCCTTTTCCTTCCCAAGCCCCTAGAAATTCAACCTAATTTTAATTTCTGTGGAAACTCCTGGTTCATGAATGCTTATATTATTCTACGACACCTGTAACGGAAAAGCTCCCTGGGTGGACGGAGAGACTGTCCCCGCAAAATTTAAAAAAAACTCCACGGAATAACTGAAGTTTTCACCAATTTTATAAAGTTCACTTCTTTGAGAAAAGGAAAGGACCACGGACGTGCAGTTACAAAATAAATAGAAAGAACGCGAGTAGCATTTACTATCTTCCTCGACGATGACAATCACGTATGAACCATAACGCGTCCACTTTGTGCTCTTTCCTGCTAAAGTTCCTACCTGGGATTGACAGTGCTTTTTTAATAAAATAAAATAAAAACTGACAGCCAAAACCACGAACTTTTTTGTTTGGTTTTAACGAATAGTTGTTTTATTTGAAATGTGAAAAGACAAGCCTCGAGTTCGTTCTCTTGCGTGCTACTACTCCGTGGTAGTGGGTGTATGTCTGCAATGTCCACAGTAGGAATTTTCATAGATGGTTTACTCAAGGGCTCTGTATTGCTAGCTGAAGCTCTCCGTCATTCCGAGCACGGTAGGACGGCGATCTTTGAACCACAGGGCCCGCAGTCCGCGGCGTGCTATCCACGAAAAGTTCCTCACACAGACTTTTTGTAGATCGTACACTGCGGATTTTCAGTCAGGTTCTGCAGAGGGTACGTGCTGTGCAGCGGAGATTGTCAGAGCTCGGCGATTATTCCATCACCGCGGGGACTGGACATGAGCATCAACCTGAATCGCCGACGAAGTTCCGATTGTACCCGAGACCAAGCCAAGCACCGACGCAATAATGGTGTCCAATCCATAAGACACACACAGTGCTGAAAAGGCTATGGTCTGGTGCCACCGAAACTCAGCCAGTGCAGCAGCAATGCTATAGCCTGGGAAATCTGCAACGAGTGATGGTCATAAAAGGGCTCCCCTTTGCGCTCGTTCGTTACCAACGAGAATTCCAGACACAAATCGTGTAGGACTCTGATTCAGAAGGGCGATGAAGTGCAGCGACCAAAGGCTATACGAAGCGAAGCGAAGACACGAGAAACCACCAGCGGCAGCTGTGCAGACCCCTCCTCCCGTCCGACACCTCCGTCTCCGCAACGCTGCAACTTGGACACAGAGCTAAGTGAAACCGGCCAAAGAGGCAGTAATGTAGAGTAGTGGCACACCTGTCAAAGATGCATGGAGATTGAATGAGGAGGCGCGTTGTGCGACGGAGGCACGAGAGCCGGAAGTGTCGAGACCGAAGAAAAAGAAGAAAAAAAGAAGAAAAAAACGGGTCCGCCTCTCGTCGACCCATTGGCCGCGCAAACTCGCGCGGATTCTGCAGATCGTTGGCGAAAGAGGGCATTCACGATTCTGCGGCCTGGATACGAGCGCCCTAGACATGCGCGGAGTGTTTTTGTTTTGTTTTTGGCGTTCCATTCTTTTATCGCAATTGAGCTATTTGTTCAATCAGTTGTTCCTACTTTGCCCACTTTGACTTCCTCTCTCTCCATATTCTTTGTGTGTTGGTTTCTTGTTTTTTTTTTTTTTTTTTGTTTCAAATTGAAGTTACTGCAAGCCTATCGACGCGAAACAGGAAACGACACCGCGGCAGTTCCGCAAACTTTGCCGTAACTGCATCTTTAAAGAATGTATATAAATATATTTGACTTTTGTTAAAAAAAAAAAAAAAAAAATCTTTAAAGTTTTACGTGGCACGTACAAACCGAAGGAAACCTGGCACACTTAGCGGTGGACTGAGGGTTAGTTTAGACCACATGGGACCTTTCAGCGCACCCAAAATCTCGATTATAGCCACAAGAAGCCTCCGTCGAACTGTGGGCACCACGGCCGGGATTCGAACCCATCAACTGGGGATGATCCGTTGGCTACAAACTGGGGCACGTTAAGCTAATTAAAACTGTAAATACAATTTAAGAAAAAAAGTCCGAAGGGGTGGGTAGATGGGAGCTCACTTGTTGTGTACCTGATTCAGGAAAGCGGGGAAAAAAGTTAATGTAGTCCACCAATTTCGGTCATAGGCCTTTGTTAGAAAGCAGGCTCCCGCAGACGTCCCTTCCCCTCCCCTCCCCGTCCCCAACACACACATAATGTCCCACAGAATGTTCTTAAAACGTATCCATTGTAAAGGGGTAATTTGGTCAGTGCAGCGTCACTTCTAGTCAAGCGTGCATCAAGTAATGATTTACAGGCATGCACGCCGGTCCACGTCCATACAGAAACCGGAAAATCAGAGTTTAAAACAGACCAGTACAGCTTAAAGGCGTAAACAACAGCAAGCACAATTAGCTCTGTAATTTGTACTATTCTTGCGAGAAAAAAAAGAAAAAACGAAGTGTTGCTTAGAGGTTCTCGAAGTTTTCGATCTTTAGGAGTCCTCATCTGTCTTGACTGGCCCCTTTTTGTCTTGGTATTGATGCAATAATACACTACAGAAGCCGACAGATCTCGTAAACTATAGTGAACACTCAAATATGTGTTTGGCTTATACACTCTAAAAAAAATGTTACACTCTTACGGCTGTAAATCAGCTTGTACCGTGGCTAACACCACGAGGGTATTACAGAAACACCCTTAGACGTTTGGCGAGCATACTAGGATAATGGCGATCTTAGCAGCCCTCTAGGAACAATGTTTTACGAGCAACCGGTTTACAAACCCCAAGCACCACATTCGGTTCTTGCATGCACAGGAAAGGCCAACACAGATGCAGTAAATCGCACATGCACGACAGAGGAATCACGAACTCGTTGACATACTGCCCCCCCCCCCCCCCCCCCCCCCACCGCCTTATATACTCAACAATTCAAACGCATTCATTCGTAGGTGGCCGTCTCCGAAAGACGTGCTTTGTGGGTGTCTCCGGTTGTTTGGTCACTGCGTAACCTTGAGACAAGAGCGGTGGGAGCTCACCTATCCTAAGCACGAAGACGGGCCTCCCCTGGGGGTCCCTGTCCGCGAGGCGCATCTGTCCGTTGGCCTGGTAGACGTGCTTCAGCTTGGAGGGCCTAAGCCCCGTGAAGATCTCGGGGGACTCCCGCCGGTGCCTGTAGTAGTTGCGCAGCGTCTTGAAGGCCACCTCCACCTTGAACTTCTTGGTGCGCAGGAACCGCAGCAGGAACTCGTCGTCCAGCCTGGACTGCAAGCCGGTCTCGGCTGCGCTCAGCGATTGGGGGAAGTATCAAGCGCACAGAAAGACGCCCCTGTCTTTCTTTGCTATACGTTTGCTTGTAAATGCACGTGGCTGCTTACAAATACTGCAAGTCCCGCTAAAGGCTGCTTCGCGCATTTGCGTCGGTCGAGTTCGCAGCAAACCGAAACGACAGCAACGACGAAGTCACCGCGGGACAACTGCTCCCCGTATACGGAGCGTGGCGAACAACGCAAGAGGTAGCTTTGCGAGGCACTGGCGGCTCACTGAGCGCATAGTTCCCAGCATCGTGCCATTATGGATCCGTAGCCCATGAGATTGCGGCTTTGGGAGCGTGTTTTGAATAACGGTGAACGCCACATAGTTTATAGGAGAAGGCGTGGATGGCTGGAGCTTCTATGCTTACTCCCAGCGACTATATATACGTTCAGGAGTCTAGGGATTTCACAGCCTCGGCCTTTATTCGGGCTACACGTGTGTGTAAGTTTTGTCGTGAGGGCGGCTAGTACTGTCAATGTCAAGGTCGCCAATGATAACTGCAGCTGAGCAAGTATCATTCGATGCAGTTGAGTTCCCATAAACTAGGGCATGCATGTTCCCCATTTAATATTTCTTGTCTTCTTAAAATTTTAATCTTGTGAAATTTGAACATAGCAAGATTAAACTCTGAATTTCGGAGAATCGAGAATGTAGCAAAGAAAAATTCCGAGAGGCTCTGAATTTCTGTCGAAGAACAGCATCTGAATTTCATTAAAAATAAACTCCGAAAACACGGAACCCGATACAGGCCACTAAACCCTAAAATTTCAGCAGGTCGCGCATTTACACGACCGCATTCGAGAAAAATCTCAGCAAACTTGCGCAATGCCATACCGGAGCGTTAGACACCGTGGCACGGGTTTTATGTTCATAGGTCAATGCTAATAATAATAATAAATGATCGTGCGGCGAATCTCGCGCACTCTCAGAAAAAAGGGTGTATGTGGGTGTATCGCGCACCCTTACACCCCCCTTCGACTGGAGACACCCGGCGAGCGTAATCGCACTCCCGTCACACGAATCCTCCTCTCCCAAAGGAATCGGCGGCGAGGCGAGGGTGTTGCCAGGTGCACCATTACACCCTTCCCCTCTCCTTTCCTTTTTCAAAAGAGGAGAGGGAGTGCTATCAGGAGAGCGCAAGAAAACAAACAAAATGCGCGCGGTAATAGAGTAGAGCGCGCGTCCTGATTAGCAGTCACTGGTTACACGTCATCCGACTGACAACCTATCACGATAGCGATCGCGTTTCGCGCGTTATCTGGCCTTCATGTTGCTAGGAGTCTTGACCTCCTCACCTCCTGCATTCCATCTCGGCGTGCTTCGGCGGCCATACTTTTGCTTCGGCTGGCGGGTGACATCGCCTTTGTTCATTCGCGCTATTTTGAATTGCGTGTTTTTTTAGAAGGTGGTTGGACAAAGCGGATCGTGTTCACGAAGCGATGCTTGGCACGTAGCTGCACTGCAGTCACAAACCAAGATGTGCCCGCCCGATAAAGGTAAGTCTGCCGTTTACATGCACTCGTTGGATGCTGCGTTTTGCGAGGCATGGGGCCTGCTAGTTGGGGACGTGCTTTCCTTTTTCTCCTGCTTATGTCAGAGTTTCTTCGCTTTTGTATTTGTGATATGTGTGCGCGGTGGCGGTGCCCGGTTCTCTGAGTGTACAAACGAGCACGACATCGCAGCTTCGAGACATTATTCTTGCGTGTAGAGCTGGCGTCATTCAGAGCAACGGGTCTCTATCGTTTCGGCAAAAAACACTTTTTGTGGACAGATGTTTCATGGACTCTCGTTCGTCGACACTACCGTTCCATCGACAGTCGTTACGCGGATTTAGCGTTGTAGGGACATTTCGTCGCGGGTGTATCCTACACGTACTATCCGCTTCGTGGCAACAGTGTGAGACAGCTCCTTACAGAAAAAAGGTAGTTTGTGCTGTCGATGAAGCATTCTGGGGATGAATCAACGCGTATCCATAAAACGATCTGTCGATGAAACGTTCGATTGCAGAGCAACATGCTCGCGCTTGTTACCGGCTTCGCTCGCACGTATGGTTATGCAATGCGATTTTCAGTGGGGATGATGGAACTAAGGTGGCGCTTCAAGACAAGGCAGTTAGAGTTCTTTTATAGGTTCCCAACGGGAGTCAGAGTTGCGCGTTCCTCTTCTTAGCGCCGTCTTTCCTGCACGGCATGTTGATCCAGCTCCTCACGCGACTTTTGGACCTCTTGGCGAATATGTGCTGCCACCTCGACACGAGGCTAAGTGTCGAGAAAACAACGCGCGCGCAAGGCCTCTCCCACCCGTTCCCCAAAACGTCAGCTACATCCTGTTCAACCATTGAGGCGCTGTGACCTAGATACTGCTTCCCCAAACTCGCCTTTGTCCCCATCGTGCGTAATCTTCCGCCCCCGAGGTCAACACAACAAAACCATATTCCCTCCCTGCTTGGCCACTTCGAAGAGGGAGAGGGTACTGGAACCATTGACTCTCGAACCGACGAGGCGCGCGGCGCGCTCAAAAGCAGGGGTGCGTACGGCTGGGCGCGTGCAACGTTACTTTCTTGCACGGTACGTGGTCGGATCTCGTCAAATAGCGGCGCGGCGGCACGTAGAAAATAGACGCGCAACTCTGGCTCCCGCAGGGAGCCTATACAGGAACTGGTACTCTAGTGCAGCATTGAGATTATAGGCTCCAGCCAGAGTTGCGCGTCTGGTTTCCACGTGCCGCCGCGCCGCTATTTGCCGATATCCGATCACGTGAGGAGCAGACTCCAAATGCCGTGCAAAAAAGCCACCGGTACGGCGGCTTCGCCGACGGTGCAAGCGCCTCGGTGTGCATACCCCCGCTTTCGCCTCCTCCTGTCCTGTGTTTCCCCCCCCCCCCCCCCCTGCCACCCCCCTAAAACAGCCGCCACAGGGCAGGTTAAAGACTGGCCGGCGGCGCCCAAGGGATACTAAGAGCACTCCCCCCCCCCCCCCCCCCCCTTCCTGACTGGAAAACAAGTTGGAACGCCACTGACCGTACATATTCCCCACGAACTACACCCTCCACAATACAGATACAACTACAAATTGTATCTGTATTCCTGAATACTTTTTCACCAGTTTCGCGGAAGTGTCTCGGGGATATAGCATTGCATAAAAGACAATGTATCTCAGTATCTGTATTTTTGGCCTGAAAGCAGATGTATCTCACTATTCCCGAATACTTTTTGGAGTGTGTCTGCCCAGCCCTGGTTTATGGCACATTAATTTATTCTATCATTCTTATTATTTTCCAGGTACTTCGGGCAAATCAACCCATCTGAAGTGCGATACAAAAGTGCAACCAGTGGCATTGCACCGAAGTTGCGAACTCTTCAAGTGCTTTGACATCTGTGAGTGTACCGTCCTTCAATTATACTCCGTGTCACTAGTTGTGTGTAGTCCAGGTGAATGCAACGGCCATGCGAAGAGAGAAAAGGCGAGCACTAGGAAGGCATATGGGAGGGCAGGGCTGGGGGAGAGGGGGAAAGCACTACGAATGTTAGATAGGAGAGGAGGTTACTCTCCTCACCCGCCTTTCTAGCGCTTGCCCTTTCCCCTCTTCGGGCATTGCCTTAGCCTGTGCGGCGCGCAAGTAGTGACTCGGAATATATTCACCATTGTACAGATTATGATGCACTGGCAGGTAATAGATAACTGGGTAAAATTAATCTGCTCAGTGCTTGAAGACGCAGCTCGCGACTTGCTTGAACACGGCCCACAGGAAACCAGCTGCAACCTCCCGTTCTCATAACGAGCATTACAAATCGCATGCATTATAATATGTCGCTAATAGACCGATCTCACCAGCTAGTTTGAGTACGCCACCGCTGCCGATATGCATCGTGGGAGCTGTAGTCTTTCTACACGCGCGACAACCATGCTGGAGGTTTGCGCGAGCAGACCACGAGGCAGCATGACCTGTCGCGTGAACTGGAGTCTGCCTCTTACGAACTGCAGTTATGGCGGCGTCACGCATGCGAGGACAACTTGGTGGGATCGGTCTATTCATTTACGCTGAAAACGCAGCTATGCTCTTATAACATATCGACATAGTTAATGTAGTTTCGTTTTTATTTTTCAGGTGTTTAGTCTCTATTTTTCCTTCCCGTCTTTTTTTGAGTATTTAGCACCTGCACGACAATTCCGCTGGTAGGCTGCAACCACGAGCTCTTTGCCCAATGATGCACTTCAACTGCATGAACTATCGCTTGTCCGAAGCAACCACCAAAGATAAATTCATGAGCTCTGGATTCTCGCCCTCAGAAAATATCTCCAGTAAAATACAAGTATTCGCTCAGACTGGTGCTATCAGAAATTCTCAGAAAAGCAAAAGGCATTCTTTCGAGACATGTTGAGCTTGAATATATCCTGAGTGAAATAAGCAACGGCAACAACAGTGTACTTGTTCTCTTGTCCTCTTACAAAATGCCAGTATGTTGGCGGCAGTACCACTTTAATTCTTGTGATTACATCAGGAAAGGGATAAGGGGAGCACTACAAATGAATCACGGCTAAAAATGTCACTGTCAAGATTGCAAGTTACAAAATGTGGAGAGCGCAAGGTCCCTTTAACAAATTTCTTGACCCCCATGCCTTACAGAAGCCCTCGATCTTTTGGGGGTGGGCTATCTGGCCTCTACACTCAAATGTGTTTGAGAGCACAGTTTTAGATGGTCCAAACTTTTGTTAAAGGAAGCTTGCATTAGGACACCTCTGATGTTGACATTCGTTTATCTGGTTAGGCGCCACAGTACAAGGTTGCTTATGGCATTTTTCGGCTAATTGTGCATTTTATTAGTAAAAAATAAACACAGTTGCAATAAGAAACAGGCTGGCATTGTTGAAAACCGCCAAAATCAGTTGTTTAAGCATATTGAAAACACATGCTTTTTATCTGTGTTTTCGGTTTGCCAGCCTTGCGCCTGTATCTAAACTGGTAAACTTTCCACCCCACTATTCTTCAATGGTGTGCAAAATATTTATGAAGTTGGCTGAGTTCCTGGTTTTTGGTAATGCTCATTAAGTAAGGTGTGGGGCCTTGACAGTGTCCTATATGTATCTAATCATGGTATACAACTGGGTTTTGCTTTTCAGGAATGCTCCATGGCTCTTTTTGGTGGTCAACACCCAAGGCACAAGACTAAAAGATAAGACATGCAAAAAGAAGAAGAAAGGAAACAAGCGACGTTTCTGGCGCATGCATTCAATGTGTATTTTTGTAGTATATGTTTCACCCAGTGTTTATGAGCAATAAATATGTAGGAACAGATACCAATTTTCGTAGCTTATTTTATAAAATATTGCATGATCCTAACAATATTATATTCGCAGGAGTGACACAAAAGCTCTCAATTGTATTTCAGGTTGACAGTTAGGACGTCAAAATGATGCCAGGCCACATAATGAAATGACGATAGAATGTGGGATTGCCAGCTTAATTGTTTTCGGGTTGACAAATGGGACATGAAAATGACACAAAACACCGTCGTTTGACGGTTAAAAGCTTGGAAAAGAGCTGCAGAGACATTTCCTGTCAATTTGATGGAAAATGTTCTAGTGTTAGTTTTGTTGACTTCGCACGTGTACACCTAAGAGTGGGGTTTATCGGTTCCCAGTAAGTGAGAACGGTGTGGAAAACGGTATAGAAGTACACCTAAGAATGGGGTGTAACTGCATTCCCAGTAAGTGAGAAACGGAATATCTGTGCACCTAAGAATGGGGTGTATCAGTATTCCCAGTAAGTGAGAAATGGAATATATGTACACCTAAGAATGGGGTGTATGAGTATTCCCAGTAAGTTATAAACGGAATATATGTGCACTTAAAAGAGGGGTGTATCAGTATTCCCAGTAAATGAGAAACGGAATATACGTACACCTAAGAATGGGGTGTATCGGTATCCCCAGTAAGTGAGAAACGGAATACACGTACACCTAAGATTGGGGTGTATCAGTATTCCCAGCAAGTGAGAAACGGAATATATGTACACCTAAAAATGGGGTGCATCAGTATTCGCAGTAAGTGAGAAACGGAATATATGTACACCCATGGGTGGGGTGTGTCTTATGCACCCGCTGAGGTGCACATGTGCACCTCCAAATGAGGTGCATGTATGCACCCCTTTTTGGGGTGTCGCATTGATACCCATGGGGGTGTCGTATATGGGACAAGTCACATACACCCCACTGGGTGTAAGTACTACACCCTTTTTTTTTAGAGTGCGTCTCTTTCCGTCAAATCGCAGCATGAAAACCTGACGGACTTCAGAACGTTGAAGGAATTCGGGAATCGTAAACGGTGTTGTATGGCCCGCTGCGCACTTGGCCAAGAGCGACCAGAGGTTCTCCCCTGGGACCACATGACATCGCGTTGCTCTGCGAGGTCACGCGAACGTAGCATACAGACCTTGGATGAGGTTTCTGAGCCTGGACAGGCATGCGTCTCTCTTTCGGGAGTCTTCACCGAGTTCGTCGGCAGCCATCTTCTGCAGTTCGGGAGACAGGACGCTTGAATCTGCTTCGCTCTGCACGGTCAGGATCCGGGTGCCTGCCATGACGGCCCCTTCGGAAAAAGAAGAAAAAAGAGAGTATATTAGCACATACAGGGATGGGCATCTCTAGCGTGTCTCACTGTTTCTCCGGAGGTTTTTCAAGCGACCCATACCGAACACAATTTCGGAATGTCCAGGTTTTACTCCTCTTTCCGGTAGCCGAATTTTGTATCTCTAATTATAAAATAGCTATTGAGAAAACGGAGATGAAGGTGATGTAAAAAGCAACGATCAAAGTTGTGGGCACCCTTGCGGCTCCCAAGCCAAGTTGCCCGACTGCGAGGCTCAAGCCGAACTTTTCCCGCGTGGCGGCGACGTCACGCCAGCCACGCGCACATCGGATGCGCCGCCTTGATAAGGCAGATCAGAGGCGGCGCACAGAGAGTCGCTGCCTGGACTCCGGCACCGCCTGTAGCAATGTTAATCGTCTTGTCCTTGTCCAATTAAATGTAGTTTCTTGTTGTTGAAACCGCCGGCTCCGTGTTATTCCTCCGGGTCGGGTATGCAGCAAGGCAAACCGACCACAAAGTATCGCACGCTGTACATTTGGGGTAACGTCACATGCTGTGTAACTTGCGAGTTGGTCGAGCGGGCAGTCTAAAAACACTGTATTTTATGCATATGTTTCTCTTTTTTTTTTTCTCGGTTTGTTGGCGTGAGTAAACAAAAAAAAATGATTGTAAAGTTGAAAGAATTTACATCTTGTACTTTTGACACTGTTTATCTTGTGCCCGACCTCGTTGCCGAGCAGGAGCAGACGTAGATGCGGCATCCGCACTCGAAAAAGACGACGACTCAGAAGAGCTCCCCGCACGGGTAGACGTCACGGCATCCATCGCAGATGCTTTCTCTCCCGACGGCCTGCGGTGGCACCGCGGAGGGGTACGAATTCTCTACAGACAAACGATGATAATAGGATCGCAGCGCCACTAGGCGGATTCGGCAACGAACGAAAGCTTTCCGCCCCTCTGCGACAGATGGAAACTGTACTCTCTTCCAGACAGACGAGCCTGGGTCACTTGGCTGTGACGTCATGACCCTATCGACCAATCAGGAGTTTCGAGTCATGGCAGCTTTACTGGTGCGGCACCGAGGCCGGCGCGACACGAGCTCCTGAACGCTATCGGGTTACAATACCAAGTTGTGCAACTACCTGCTCAATAAAAGGTAATTTTACAGCTGAGCTGTTAAGGGCTAGTTTCCCCAGGATCGTGTCCGGTACCAAGCAAATGTCGACACAACACTCTGGTTGCAGCCGTAGCTCATAGGTGGCGGTAGCTGTCCAGAGTGTTGTGTTTGCCGGTTGTATGCTTGCCGCCGTGGCTCATAGGTTGCGGCAACCTTTCCAGCCTCGCCAACCAGACAACTGGTTGCTGCCGTCACTCACAGATGGCGGCAACATTTCTTCGGAGGAAGGAAAGCGGGAACGGAACGAGCGGCAATGTGCGGAGCAGCGCGAATTGTTCCGCAACCGCCGCGAGGCCGCTATCGTCTAAAGTTTCACTGCGTCGAGCGCTTTAGATTTCCTTGCGAAAGAAGAGCAGATCGCTCGCCTGTAAAGCCACCGCAGAGAACAGAAGCTACAGTTTCGCTGCTTTCCTTCTTCACCAAAGTGAAAAGGCTGAAAGTTTTTTTTTTTTTTATAAATCTTGGCATTTTAGCATAAATATAAATCAGTCAAAAACCTGGTATCATCGACAAAGCCCTTATTATACGGGGTTTCAGTGGCACCATCTATCCGAGGTCAACAAAACCGTCAATTCTATCTGCTACCGCGAGCAGCGGCTAGAAGCCGGACGGCCAGTCGGATGGCCGGATGGCACAAGCACGTGGTCAAGAGGTCGAGAGCGGGTGAGTTCTCGCTGCTCACTGATGACGCTAGAACGCAGGCTTCACCAGAACCCCGCGTGCCCCCACAGAAAACGTGACTCGGAAGATGGTGAAGGATTTGAGAAGTGTCAAAAACCTCAACCTTTGTCATTTTTTTTTTTTTTTTTAGATAAAAACTAGGACATGCAGGCAAAAGCGTATTTTTGTTCTGTTCTTTACTTCAGAAGGGTTGAGACACCAACTCCCACAATTATTTAAGCAAAGCACTGAAACTGTTGCACAGCTCCTTTAAAGGCTGACAAATAACCTCGGTTTTCTGCAGGTAAGATAATCCCCATAGCGCTCCACTCTCCTAAGCTGCGGGGGAGCCAAGTTGAGGGTTGAGGCAAGGTAAAAAGTGGAGAGGATATAGGAAAGGAGGAGGCGGGAAAAAGTGGAAAGCGAGAACTGTACGTCGGCCTTTAACTAGCATTAATTTCCCACCATCGAACTTGTAACTCGTCGGAAACAAACTGTACTACCCCCATATAGACCAATGGATAGGTGCGAATCACCTTACCCTTTTTAACGAGCGGTAGCTTGCACCACCTAGCCTAGAAGCCTCTATTGCCGTCACGTTTTCAGGGTTACCTGTAGAAACTCTCAACCCCTAGGACCAAAAATAAAAGTTCAATGACTTCGTGAAAAAAAAAAAAAATATTGTGACTTGTCGTTCTGGGTTATTTGTTCAGGTGTGTCTACTAATGCGTAAAACCAATTTTGAGGCAAATAAGTGACTATCAATATTTCGATGCTTTTTTAGAGTCCAAACACGGCTTACATCGACATCACATCAGCTGTGCTGCGGTGGCCTTGCTGCGTAGAGAGTGCGTAGTGCGATCACGTCACGTGCAAGCCATGTATACTCCTTGGGCTGGCTTGAAACAGTATGGTACAAAGAATAATAGTGCTGTGCGACTATTCGAACAGTAGTTTCGAATAATACGCTATTCAATGTCCATTTTCAGATGAACTGCGATATTCGTACTTTTCCAAGTGTTGACAGCGACGAGATAGCCCTGTTGAGTGCGCTTCTCACCGAGCACCCATGCACTGCAGGAAAGCAATACTATGAAGGTCGCCATCGCCTCGCGCACAGCTCTGGCCTCGCGTATTGCTTCCCTGCAGTGCTCAAGTGCTCGATGAGAAGCGAACTCAACGAAAGTAACCCGCCGCGATTATGCAAGAGCATGTGTTAGGCAGCGATGATTTGACAGCCCGCGCACATCATTCGTGCTGTTTTTTTTTTTTTTTTTGGCGAATATTAAGTCATGGAAAGAATATTCGCATATAGTAACTATTTATAAGTCCCATCGATTAGGATAGCTGCGACAATTTTGTCGTTTACATGCCACAGTTTATAAACATGGGTATATTAACATTAACTGATATTGAAGTGGACGAATGGAAGGTCGGGAACAGCCTTCACGAGTCCAGCTGAATTTTCTTTTATGCAAGGTGCACCATAGTGAAAGGCAAGGAGCTACATTTCACGAAAGAAGCATAAAAAAAACATAATTACATCTCTACACTAAAACTCAAGATATAGTTGTGCCTTGTTAGCTCTGCGCCTCAAGTGACATATTAGGGAGTTTTCGTAGATCGTTGTCGCCGTCCCGCGACGCTCTCCGCTACCCGCTCCGATAACCGAAACTCTACAGCCACGGCCATCGGCGCACAGGCGCAGTGGCGGCTACCTCGTTGCGGAGGGCTTAGCGGAGGGGGAAACGCGGTCTACGAAAACTCCCTCATAGAGAGCTTTCGTAAATTAGGGAGTTTTCGTAGATCGCTTTTGCCGTCCCGCAACGCTCTCCGCAACCCGCTCCGATAACCGAAACTCTACAGCCACGGCCATCGGCGCGCAGGCGCAGTGGCGGCTACCTCGTTGCGGAGGGCTTAGCGGAGGGGGAAACGCGGTCTACGAAAACTCCCTCATAGAGAGCTTTCGTAAATTAGGGAGTTTTCGTAGATCGCTTTTGCCGTCCCGCAACGCTCTCCGCAACCCGCTCCGATAACCGAAACTCTACAGCCACGGCCATCGGCGCGCAGGCGCAGTGGCGGCTACCTCGTTGCGGAGGGCTTGGCGGAGGGGGAAACGCGGTCTACGAAAACTCCCTAATAGGGAGCTTTCGTAAATTAGGGAGTTTTCGTAGATCGCTTTTGCCGTCCCGCAACGCTCTCCGCAACCCGCTCCGATAACCGAAACTCTACAGCCACGGCCATCGGCGCGCAGGCGCAGTGGCGGCTACCTCGTTGCGGAGGGCTTAGCGGAGGGGGAAACGCGGTCTACGAAAACTCCCTCATAGGGAGCTTTCGTAAATTAGGGAGTTTTCGTAGATCGCTTTTGCCGTCCCGCAACGCTCTCCGCAACCCGCTCCGATAACCGAAACTCTACAGCCACGGCCATCGGCGCGCAGGCGCAGTGGCGGCTACCTCGTTGCGGAGGGCTTGGCGGAGGGGGAAACGCGGTCTACGAAAACTCCCTAATAGGGAGCTTTCGTAAATTAGGGAGTTTTCGTAGATCGCTTTTGCCGTCCCGCAACGCTCTCCGCAACCCGCTCCGATAACCGAAACTCTACAGCCACGGCCATCGGCGCGCAGGCGCAGTGGCGGCTACCTCGTTGCGGAGGGCTTAGCGGAGGGGGAAACGCGGTCTACGAAAACTCCCTCATAGGGAGCTTTCGTAAATTAGGGAGTTTTCGTAGATCGCTTTTGCCGTCCCGCAACGCTCTCCGCAACCCGCTCCGATAACCGAAACTCTACAGCCACGGCCATCGGCGCGCAGGCGCAGTGGCGGCTACCTCGTTGCGGAGGGCTTGGCGGAGGGGGAAACGCGGTCTACGAAAACTCCCTAATAGGGAGCTTTCGTAAATTAGGGAGTTTTCGTAGATCGCTTTTGCCGTCCCGTAACGCTCTCCGCAACCCGCTCCGATAACCGAAACTCTACAGCCAAGGCCATCGGCGCGCAGGCGCAGTGGCGGCTACCTCGTTGCGGAGGGCTTAGCGGAGGGGGAAACGCGGTCTACGAAAACTCCCTCATAGGGAGCTTTCGTAAATTAGGGAGTTTTCGTAGATCGTTTTCGCCGTCCCGCAACGCTCTCCGCAGCTCGCTACGACACCCGGAACTCTACAGT